GCTATGAATTTCTCTCTTGAGAACTTCCTATACTGCATCCCATAAATTTTAGTGTGTTGTGTTCTTGCTTTCATTCACCTCAAGGTATCTTTTCATTTCTTTTGTGATTTCTCTTTTGATCTATGTTTTTTAGGAGATGTGCTGTTTAATTTTTGCATACTTCTGAATTCCCCAAATTTCCTTTTGTCTTTGATTTCCAAGATAATTTCATTGTGGTTGGAGAACTCACTTTGTATGGTTTCAGTTCTTCTAAATTTATTGAAGCTTGTTTTATGTCCTCACATATGGTCAGTCCTCAAGAATGTTGCCTGTGCACTTGTGATGAAGGTATATTAAACAGTAGTTGGGTGCAATGTTTTATACATGTCTCTTAGGGACATTCTCCTTTAATAATTACCATTTTTATTGTAGGACAGGAAGCTTTGGACTAAGCAAAATAAAGACAGCAGCTCTTTGATTGAGAGGAACACTGACAAAAGTTACTTGTATAGAAAATAAGAAAAGCATTATGAGTTATTCTCTAAAAAATATGTTGCCGTCATTTCCATTTCTGGGCTTTATCCCTTCTTAGGTTATAGGATCACATTCTTTTAATTGGACAAGTATGTATCATTACAAGAAAAGACAAAGATTTGAAGATACAGAACCAGACTTTGTAGTTGACAACTCTTCTCCGTCTTATAGAAAAGTAACACAGCATAAAATTTAAAAAAATTAAATTGATACATGTCATAAAAATTAAAATTCTCCCTAGGCATTTTAAAACAATATGAGGGGTGCCTGGATTGCTCAGTAGGTTAAATGTCTGACTCCAGCTTAGGCCATGATCTCACAGTTCATGAGTTCAAACCTCGAGTCTGGCTCTGTGCTGACAGCTCAGAGCCTAGGACCTGTTCAGATTCTGTCTCCATGTCTCTCTGATGCTCCTGGCTTGCACTCTGTCTCTCTCTTTCTCTCTCCTCTTCTCTCTCAAAAAAATAAGCATTAAAAAAATCTTTAAAAAATGAAACACATAGTATGACACATGCTTGAATTAACAAACAAATATCTTATAAGCTGTATGCTTTCTCCTGCTTCATGAAACAGTTTTTTTTCTTCTTCTTCATGTGGTTTAGCTTTTTTTCTTCAGTTTCTCCTCTCAGTTTATTTGCAGGGAGGGAAATTGGTTCTTTTACTTGTTTTTCCCATGGCCTTGGAAGTTCAGTGATTGATTGCTTTTGTTTTCATGATAATGAATATAATATTGGTTTCAGTTACTTGGGTTGTTATTTAATTTTCCTAGCTCTCAGTTTTCAAGTGGAGAAAAAAAATTGTTATGGGAATGTCAGAAAACAGATGAGAAAATTTATTCCATTCATATGCTGATATGTGATGATAATTATGACAATTTTCTTACCTTTCCTTCCTTTTCAATTAAAGTGCTTCCTTCCTCTCTCTATCGCTTCCTTCTTCCCTTAATTTCCCCCCCCTTCCTTTCTACTTTCCTTGCTTTCTTCCATCCAGTAACAATTGTTGACCCTTTCTATTAGCCTTAACAATGTATTTTTCCTTAATATTCTCTTGTAGCTATATAACTTTCCTTGAGAGAATGTGAGGGAACTTTTTCATTGAAAGTGAGAGAAACTCAATTCAAACTAGTTCAAATGTAGAGAAAGTTTATACATTCATTTTTTTTCTTCAGAGAATTAGAGGATGCCTAAATACACACAGATTCAGAGGCTCAAATAATGTAGGCAGGATTCTGTCTCTCTCCTCTCGTTGCTTCTGCTATTTCTGCTTGGCTTCTCCCCATGTGGTAGCAACATGGCCAAGAATGGCCAGGAATCTTCTATCTTGGCAACCTCAGCAGAAAGAGGACTTCTCTAATACTCATGTATCATAACCGCAGAATAAGTTAATTTGCTCTGCTTTGGTCGCATGGTCACTCCTGAGCTTACCAGTGATCATAAGGATGGGGCACCAAGGCGGGAGGGTGGGAGGTGGGGAAATGAGGCACTGCGATTTTAGTTCTGTGGAGATCATATGGAATCCTGGTGATGAAAAATGCAAGAACCAGCTGATTCTTTGACTGAAAATGTAAGGATGTTTTGGGATTAATGATGCAAATTCTTGAATTGGGAAATAGAAACAATTTTAAGGCGACAAAAGCACTTGGTGGAATCAATGTTGTCAGTATCCATCGCAGAGAATATGAGACTTTCTCATGAGCCAGTACTACTGTTTAGTGAGCTTAGTGAGGCTCCAAAAAGGGAAGACAACTTTTTTGGTAAAGCATTATTGAGATATAATTCATACATCATAAAACTCAAATAAAATTTTAAAATAATATTACAATACAGTGATTTTCATTATATTCACAGACCTGTGCAACCATCACTGTAATCTAATTCTATTTATTTTAAAATGTTAAGTAGGTTCTATACCCTATGTGGGACTTGACCTCCTGACCCTGAGACTGAGAGTCCTGTGCTCTATTGATGAGCTAGCCAGATGCCCCACCATTATCTCATTTTGAAACTTTCTCTCATCATCTCAAAAAAAAAAAAAAAGCATTACCAATACCTTCCCATATCCTCCTCCTGCGCCCCTGGCAACCACTTATCTACTTTCTGTCAGATTTACCTATTTAGGACATTTAATAAAAATAGAGTTGTATAACATTTGGCCTTTTGTGACAGGCTTCTCTCATTTAGCATAAAGTTTTCAAGTTTCATCCATGTTAAGGTATATATCATATTACTTCATTCCTCTTTATGGTATGGCCATACCACCTTTTGTTTTTCCATTCACTATGAATGATTCTGTGAACATTCATGTATCAGTTTTTGTGTGGACTATATCTTCAATGCTCTTGGGTATTAGTAGTGGAATTGCTGGAACATTTTGTAGTTCTGTACTTAACATTTGAGAAACTGGGGAGGTCAAGTTTGATGGTCTCTCAGTGATGCGTTCTAATATGCCTGTATATCCCGACACAGAAGGAAAACACACTGCTCCAGGTTTTTTTCCCCCTTTATTACAGATATGAGTCTGTTTCAATGCTGCCTATCATGATTTCTTCCATATTCTACAACTCATCAAGGCTAGAGTGGACTCTGAGGGTCAATCCAGTCTATCAGTCTGTGTCCAGCAAAAGACCCAGCTTGGAGCTTTTTTATACACTAAGGATAATGGCCAGGAAAAGAACACTGGTTAAAATGGAAATACAAACCAAAACAAAATATGTACTTCCACTTTGTATCACTCAGGGCTCAGTTCAGAAAATGCTGTAGATATTCCAAGCAGAAAAACATGGAATACAAGGAATTAGGCACTCATACATCATTAAAAAGGCAGGAGGAATAGAAGAGGGTCAGTGCTAGGCTTCTGGTTTCAAAGTTGCATATCACCACCTGTCTGACCCAGAGACCAGAAACTGCTAGTATCACCCAGAAATGAGAAAACTACAAGTATCTCATCAGAGCTTCCCTGCACCACAGAGATGGTAAATGCACAGGGACGTGGAGTTCAGAAGCTGCCAACTCATGTCTACCCCAGAAACTGCTTTCCCTTGCACTCTCCTGGAAACAGCCTCTTCTCTCTTTTCCTTCCAAGTCTCATAGAACTGTATTTCACTGGCAGAACTGAAGTCACGCGCAAGTCAGGGAAGCACAATTTTTGGCATCTCAGCTTGGCAGTAGAGGGGGATAAGGACAGAGAAGAAGGTTGAAATGAAGGCACAGTGACAATAGACAATGTTTATTTTTCTTCTGGCTGTCTTCTAAATCCATCCTGAATCTAGGACAACCAGTACCTAAAACAAGGCTTGCCATATAATAGGTATTTTATAAATATTATTTTTTAATGCTTTTATTTATTTTTGAGAGAGAGAGAGAGACAGAGTACGAGTTGGGGAGGGACGGAGAGGGAGGAAGACACAGAACCAGAAGCAGGATCCAGGCTCCAAGCTGAAAGCACAGAGCCTGGTGTGGGACTTGAACTCGTGAACCATGAGATCATGACCTGAATTGAAGTCAGATGCTTAACTGACTGAGCCACCCAGGCGCCCCTAAATATTAGTAATCTGAATGAATATATGAATGAATGAGTACTTTATTCAGCCTTCTCTTCATCATCACACCTTTCCCCAAACTTCTTTTTCCTCTCAATGGTCTTTGAATTTCTATGTTCTCCTTGCCTGTCCTTTAGGGTGGCTAAATAATGCCCATAGCATTTATTCACAAGTTTAATGTTAGGCAGTGATTCTCAACTGGGGAGATTTGGCCTCCTATGGGACATTTGGTCCTGCCTAGAGACATGGAGGACGTGGGGGATACACTATTGGCAACTAGAGGGTAAAGGACAGGATGCTGCTGAGCATTTCACCATGTGCAGATCGCCCTCCACAACAAATATTAACAGGCCCCAAAAGACAATAGTGCTAGTGTTGAGAAACGCTGGGTTGGAGTATGGAAGAAAGAGGGTAAAGGGGGAAAATAATTGGATGCAAAAGGAGGGAAGAAGTAAATATAAGATCAGGGGTCAGCAGACATTTTTGGTAAGGGACCCAGAAGGTAACTGTTTAAGCTTTGTGGGCCGTAAGACCTGTGGTGACAACCACGCAGCCCTGCTGTTCCAACAGGGAAGCAGCCATGCTCAATATGTAAATGAATGCCTGAACCTGTGTTTCAATAGAACTTTCAGGGCACTGACATGTAAATTTCATATAATTTTCATATACCACAAACAATTATTCTTAGTTTTATTTTTCCCTATCATTTAAAAATGTAAAAACTGTTCTTAGCCATAAGTCTTATAAAGATCAGCAGGCAGAAGTTTGCTAAGGAAGAGAAGTTTGCTCTTCCTGATAGAGGAAGGATGAGGTGAGAGAACTGGAAAAAAACAACACATTAGTTTGGTGTTCATACTAGACAGACTAGACTAGCTTATGCTGAGGTACAGACAACCTCAAAATCTTAGTGGTTTACAATAACAAAGGGCATTTCTCACTCACAATGCAGGTGCACTGTGTGCTGGCTACGGTTTCTACTCCATGTTGTTTTCTTTCTGGAATTCAGACTGATAGAGGTGCCTTTATCTGGGACATCGCAGAATCTAGCAGCAGAAGAAAAATGGAGGAGATGGGAAACCATGGCTGGCTTTGGACATTTTCGACTAAAATCAACAAACATCATTCTTACTCAAATTTCAGCCAAAGTAGGTTACATCCCCATGCTAGACCATGCCTTAGATAACGGGATCCCCTCCAGGGAGGGGGCAGTGACTATTTGTGAACAATAACATAGTTTGACACACTGCCTCTCCTTAGTGCCTCCGGTTGCTTAGGTTTGGTTATTCTTGAACCCAAGTTTACTGTGTTATCCAAACTAGTGTCTTAAGTGGGGACTAGGAGATACCATAATAATGACAATAAAAGTACCTAATGTTTATTCAGTGATTATTATTTCCCATACATTCAACCTTTACGTGCATTTTTGCATTCAATCCTCACAATAACCTGTTAAGGTAGTCATTATTTTTATCCCCACTTTATAGATGAGGAAACTCAGCAATAAAGAGACTGAAGGTACTTGAATACCAAGTAGCTGAGATTCAAATCCAGATCACTCCAATTATAAAGCACATGTTTCTGTTCTAACGCTGGGGCTGAGAGTAGAGGTTCTGATAGTAAATTGCCAAGGTTCAAGTCCTGGCTGGTGCCAGACGCTACTTTATGACTTGAGCAAGTTCTACAACTTTTCTCGGTGCTTCTTCCATTTATAAAGTAGGATATTAACAGTATTAACCCTCATGGAGTTTTTGTAAATTTAAATCTAGAAATTAATGTATGTGGAGTGTTAGTGTTTAAAACAGTGCTTGGTTAAAAGAAAAAACTTTGCTATTGTTGTTATTATTTAGTAATGCTTTGAAAAACTTCACTGGTCATTCTATTCCCCTACTTTTGTTCCCTCCTTATTCTCAATTTCCTTTGAGAATTACGGTTCTAAATTTTTGTTGCCACCTTACTGTTATTTTTCGACTAACACTTTACGAACATGGAGGGTAAACTATAGGAATACCATTGCCATGAACCTAGCTGTATATCTCTGCTTCCAGACCTTCTCCACCTATCGCTTTTACGTATATTATTTGAATTCCTAGTTTATATTTACGTGGGTACATAGCAATGATCTGGAATACAGAAGTAGACTGCCGAGGTCGAAGGTAATAGTACTGGCCCTTATCCTTGCTACATGACCTTGCTGATCATCTCTTCCAGTTAATTTTTTGAAGTTGATGGGTTATTGTGTTTTAATTTTGGAAACAACATATTAAGTTTCCTCCCTTGGGAAAATCATGACAAACCAAGCAAGCAGAGTAGTAAATTGTTCTTGGCATAGGTCTATCGGTCATCAGCCTTTCAAAAACCAGATGCTTTTTGAGAAGGGCCCAAAGGGCTAGTAGAGTTATTATTACAGAGTTGTACACATATCTTTTTCACATGGGGTAAAGAAAGCTAAACAATTAATTCTCCATTGTGGTGCTTAAAATGGAATGAAACATAATGACTTTTAGGCAAGTTGGAATTGCTTTATTTACCATCCCCCTCAAACTTACATTTTTCTTTTAAAAAAGTATTTTATTACATGAAGTGTGAGGATAAACCATTCCAAATAAGGTTTTTCCACTTGAAACAATACAGAGACTTCAACTGCTGGTTTTGATTGTGATTAATTTGAAGTTAGGGTGTTAAGCCTCATGAGGATAGTGGGGCTTTCCTGATAATTTATGGTGTCAATGTGTTTTTTCTTCTGAAATAATTTAAAATAATATTTTTCAAGTTCTGGTCTAGAAATTTCTTTTTTTTTAATCTTTTTTCCCCCAGTCTACGTTTGAATTTGCCAGTTTAGCTGTGTAGGTGGAGAGGCAATAATTAAGAAATAGCAGGAGGAAGGTTTACAAAGTTTGGGAGTATTTAATTAAGGCACATTATCATGTGAGTAAAGTCAAAGCTAAGATTTTGATTGTTCTTATGTGCTTGAATTACCATCAGACCAATCTTAAATTATTTCATACTTGTGAAGGTCCCAAATAAATTTAGATTTTCTAGATATAGCAGACTGGAACATAGTCATTTACCTTCTTTTCTGCCTATTGGACTTACCTTGTGGATCAACTAGGCATCAAGTGCCATATTAAACATATTCTTGCCACCGGCTTCTACAAAATTGATGTCTTTAATCAAGTCACGAACATAAATTTGATCAGTGCTATTCTGTATGGATTAGGATCTAAGGGCTTACACATAAAAGTATCTATAAGAAGAAATATCCTCAGATATGCAGAGTCATGCTGGAGACATACATGGGTGTCCTCATTTTCACACTTAAATTGCTAGGTTAGATCAAAGCTAAATTCTAATTCCATTTAGTTTTATGGAATAATCAGCCTTCTCCCTTTCCTGACCAGTTTCAAATTACTTAGCCTTTTTCCTCTAAAATCCATGGAGCAAAGTCAAGCACTATCTTCCCTCTAATTTCATAGCATATTTGAAGGAGCTTTGTAGGGAATGGAACAGGATGACAGAGTACTGAGCATGAAAAAGGGTAGGTTCTTGAATTGTATTTGCCTCAAGCTAAATTATTTGGGGAACGCTGCAGTCATTATTATTCGAGAGTAAGGTGACACTGGAAAACAATATATTTTTTCAAATTAATCATTCAGGTTTATTTAATAAAGGAGAGGAGAGTTCTCTTGTTGATTTTATAGCAAAGGCAGTAGCCATTTCTTTGGCTAATTCATGCAATCCTTGAGTAAAATTTAAACCTGGGTTACCTTGGCAGGATTTAAAGGAGTAGGACACATGTGAATATAAGGATATTAGATACGTGTAATTCTGAATAATAAAATAAAGATGAAGATGGTAATTTTGGTCCCTCAAGTACTGGTATTTAAACTTTAAAAATCAATCAAGAGAAAAGATTAAGTGGTGTTTCTTTGGTACTAAAAATGTAAAGCTAAGACCAAATTGTTCTATTTTCACAGATTGAAGATATAAAGAATGATATTTAAAGACATTAAAATGGCTATTAAATTCTCTTCAGTTTGCAAAGAATCTCAGATGAAGTACACTTAGAAGAAATCCCTGAGTACATTAACTCCTCTATTAGTATCTTCTTTCATAAACAAAGAACAATTTAAAAGCTTTGTAAGACATATAAACACACTACTTAGCAAAAGCAATATCTGAGTAGAAGACTCCCTCCTTAGTGCTTCTAAATTAGGCCACCAAATGTTTAACAGGAGAAACAAGAGATTCACAAAATTAAAACATGTTATTTGAACACATTAACCATTCTTAGGTAAATCCAAAAACCATTGTCTTATGGTGTTTCTATTTTGTTTTAACCACTCAATATTGTTCTTCACGGTTTCCAGCACTTGCTGCCTAGGTTTTTCTCCTGCTCCAGCTTCTGGATATTTTTTGAAAAAGCTTTCAATCTAGAAAAGAAAAGGAAATAATCAAGAAAGTCATTTGAAGCCCAGCTAGTCTTCAAGACTGTTATTTACAAACTGGATTTGTTTATTTCTTCCCTGGAAATGCATTATCATTGTACAACAGTGAGTTACAGTCTCGGAGCATCATTTGGACTGAGCCCGACTCTTACATTAGCAGTCATGATGCAGGACTTTTGGACTTCTGGCCGCCTGTCAGATCAAAAGAGGCTCTGCCAGGCTGGGGAAGGAGAAGCACATTAAGTGGCTGGCATGGCCCTCTATGCTTCTGCAGCTCTCTCTGTTTTCTGTGCATTCCCCAGGTGTTCCCTGGAAAACCTGGTCTGTGGAATGATGGTTTTGCTTATTAGCCTTTCACTTCAGGAGTCTGGAATCTTTTAATATCCTTTCAGTTCACTTATTAAGAACTTATAATAACATCTCTGTTAACCTTCGTTCTGTTTTTCCTCTTCTTCCAAAATATTCCTCCAAATTCAATTATAGGATTGTTTGCTACTTACAAATATAAGAATTATTTTGTTTTCTTTTAAAATTATTTTTAAGGTTTTTTTTTTTGATGGGGGGAGGGGCAGAGAGAGAGAGAGGGAGAGAGAATCCTAAGCAGGCTCTGTGCTCTCCATGAACCATGAGATCATGACCTGAGCCAAAATCAAGAGCTGGATGTCCTATTGACTGAGCCACCCAGGTGCCCAAATTTTGTTTCTTAACACACAGAGGAATATTAACATTCCAACATATAATATACAGATACTGAAAATTCATATAATCTCTATTTGTCCAACATTGAAAACATTTCATTTTTCCCTCTGGGAACTGAGATGGTTGAAACCTAAAAAGTCTTTAAATTCCAAAACAATGAATTTTCAAAGGAATCACATCTTGACCATCTTATTCCAGGCTACATTTACCAGGGGAGACATACTATCCATGCTTTTGTGAGCCAAAAGGTAGCCTTCTAAGCCTTGCAAGGCCTCAGCTTTCTCAACTTTTAAACTTTGTTTCTTGATTCTTTGAAATTTTTTTTAGTTTAGAAAAAAATAGGTACACATTTAATTGGATATAAGAATTATTTCCTTCACCTTGTCTTTGGAGACCTGAATAGAGAAAATGCCATTTCTGTTTGAAGCAAATAAAACAGTTAAATTCTTTATTCCTGGACAAGTCCAGAGGGATTTATCTTCATACCTCCCAGAGCTGTAGTTCAGTGTTGAATGGCTCTGCTATGGTGACAATCCTGCCAAGGTTTCTGTCATTGAGTGTATATCTGAAGAGAAATTTAAGCAAGTAAAAGGGAATATAAGTGCCTAGAAGTTTAAATCTTTTCTCTAGATTTAGACATCTCCTTTTGATTTTTGTCATTTTTTAAATTAATTTGCAAAGTAAGTAAAACATAGTAAACACATTTAATTTAAAATTTCTATTCAGGAAACATTCTTAGTAAATCTTTCACTTTTTTTTGTAGACAGGTCCACAACATTATCCCAGAGGTGGTGGATTGCTTGCTGTCTTCCCCAAATATGTTCTTTTTTCCTGCACTGTGAGAACCCAGGGAGAGATTACATTTCTCAGCCTCCCTCGTAGCGAGGTGCAGATGGGTGGCTCAATTCTTACCAGTGGAACATGAGCAGAAGTGGTAGGTCCACCCTCTGCCTCCTTGCTTAAGTAAAGGAAAATTGCTTGCCTTGGACTTATTTTTCTTCCCTCTCTCCGACCTTTATCCACACCAATAGGATAAGGTTCTATATCTTGTGGAGCAGAACGACTTGAACAACTGGGAGTGCGCACTTCAGGAGACTAACACGAGTAAGAATTACGTATATCCTGTAAGCTGCTGCATGTCTGTATTTCCAATAGAGCTGGGTAACTCTAGTCACCTTTATCCCGACAAATACTCCATGCATCTTCCCGCAGGTACAGAAATTTGAATATAAGCTGTGTATTGTTCTCTCAAAAAGCTTTAGTAGCTATTTGTATATTATATTGCTCTATATTAGCCTCTGTGATCTATATTAGTCAGACTAAGCAAAGACACTTAAGCTAAGTGCAAAGATAGGATTTTAGAGATGATACTTGATTCCTGTCCCTTTTGCACTTTCTCTCTTAAAGAGTAAGGATCAGAAATTTCCTTACAGACCATAATACAAATAGTTGTGATACAAGTAAAAATCTCGTCACAACTAGTCACAGTGTAAGAAAAACAACCGCAAGAATTATGTATTAACTTTGAACCCCTGGAATGCTGGAGAGGGATAAAAGAAAATATATCGCTGTATAGAGAGGTAAACAAACATTAGGAGAAATTTTACGTTTAAAAATTATCACAAAACAGAAGCAGAAACCATGGAAATAAAAACTGAGATTGTTACACACATATTTAAAAATTTTTTACACTAAAAAGCTCATAGAATTAAGTCAAAATCTGTTATTTTGTTGTGAAAAGAGCAAATATTTTCACTGTGTAAATATTTCACCATACAGTTCTTCACTATACAAATACATTTCACTATACAAATTGGTAAAAGGGAGAAATATGCCAACGTGAAATTATCAAAGAAATGAATTCACAGTTTGCAGAAGAAACATAAAGACAAAATGTACTAATGGGAAAAAACATGAAATGTTCTGTTAACTAACCATGATTTTCAGTGTACTAGGTTCAGTGCTCACTCTTATCGTAAACACCATTGAATTTAAATCCACCATGTCTTTCATCTTTCACATCTTAGCAGTCTAAGGTAAACCACTCCCCTTTACTTAATGTCATTCATAATTATTCCAAATATAAGACTCTGACACATCTATTCTCAACGCCATCCCTGTAATGTGTATGCTGTACTTCCTCACCCCTGACATACTCTGAGGTCTCCCAATCTCTTGATCCTTTCCATCTAGCCTTCTGGAACTACCCCTTTATTGGAAATATTACTTCTCATTTGGAGAATATTTATTTTCCCACATCCTTTGTAGCACCAGGTCGGAAATGGAGTTGGTGTGCTCATTCTTCCCACTGTGGATTCCAGACCATTATTTCTCCACTCTTTTTTTAAAAACTTCTGTTCCTTCTAGTTATCTCCCCTCAACTAATTTATGATACGCTTTGGCACCTGACTCCTGGTCTTCCTCTCTGCTCCAAGCTGTGACTTCAAGGTCCACATTGATGATAAATATAACATCTGAGCTCCTTAGTTTCTTGACATCCTCATTCCCAATGATAGTTTCTTTACCTTGGTCACCAATTCCCATTATCATACCTTGTGACCATCCATAAGTACACTGACTCTAAAACTGTTCATTTATGCACCCTCTATGATAAAGTTTACCTTTCTGTTTTCACTATGACCATTCTCTGACTTTAGCTGACTTCTGGCTCATTGATCATCCCTATCCCTACTTTCTCCTGGACCATCATCTCTTATTTCCTTGCACTTATTTCCTTATATAGTTTTAATTCCTTGGTCTACCATTTTCAATAACATTTTTTTTCCTAAGCCCTAAACTCCCTTAAAGCTTAATAATTTGTTTCTAGCAAAAGTCCAGCTTTGGAGAAAATCAACTGCCCATTTCCTCTGTGTTTGTACCAGATGGCTAATCTGTCAAGGAAGATCACCCAACTTTCTCCATAATGTTTCACTATAAATTCATGAATATCAATCTTAAGTGGTTCCTCCACATTGACAGTCCTCTTACAATTACCCTGGTCAATTCATTCTCTTAATCCTTAAATCACTTTCTTCAAGTGTTTTCACTCTCTTTCAACCTCTATACATTCTCCTGCTTCCCTCCCTCTCCAACAAAGATGACCTTGTCTTCTGCTCCACAGAGAAAATATATAGTAACTCCTACATCTTTTAGTGTACAAACATACAAAGATGCCTATCTTTCTTCTATCATCTGTGCATTGGCTCTGACTTCTCTCCATTTAAAAACTTTATTTTTAAAAGTATCTTTGTCATACCTGTTAAAGCTCTCATTCTTCACTAGGTCTTTCTCATCAACTTTAAAATATATTAACCATATTAAAATGATCTTCCACATAAAAAAAACTCCTCTTACTTGATCCGGCATCTCTCTTAATTTTCTTTCTCTCACCTCCACATCCAGAGTCAACTTTTATTTTATTTTTTAAAAGAATTTATGTTTTTATTTTTATTTTTTATAATTTTTTTTTTAATTTTTTTTAATTTTTTATTTTTTTTTTACAAATAGTTTATTGTCAAATTAGTTTCTACATAACACTCAGTGCTCATCCCCAAAGTGCCCTCCTCCATGCCCATCCCCCCCTCCCCCCCACATCCATCAGTCCTCAGTTTTTGTCAGCATTCAAGAGTCTCTCATGGTTTGCCTCTCTCCCTTTCCCCCACCATTTCCGCCCTTCTTCTCCCGCTTGTTAATGTTTATTTATTTTTGAGAGATCATGAGAGAGCATGAGCCAGGGAAGGGCAGAGAGAGAGGTAGACACAGAATCCGAAGCAGGTTCCAGACTCTGAGCTGTCAGCACATGCAGGGCTCGAACCCATGAACTGTGAGATCATGACCTGAGCCAAAGTTGGATGCTTAACCAACGAGGCCACCCAGGCAACCTCAGAGTCAAAATTTTCAAGAGATTTCTCTACACTTCTTGTCTTCATTTTCTCATCACCAACTGTTTTATTAATTTGCTTTGGCTTAGGTTCTGCCCCCATCACTCCACTGAGAAACTCTCTAGAGTTACCAATAGCTCTTATGCCAGTAAATCTAATGGGCAATTTTCAATCTTGGATTTACTTAAACCTTAAATATGTCAGCATTTGACAAGGGACTGTAACTTCATTGAAACTATCTCCACTTCAACATCTCAAAGGAGACTCAAAGACATCATAAATAGCAAACTGAACCCATTGTTCTCTTTCTCCAAGCCTTATCTTTTCTAAAAATCTAGGCACTATCCTTGTCCCCTCACTACGGTCCTATTTCTAATTCACCAAGTTCTAAATGTTGTTCCTATCTCTTCATCTTCATCATTACATTCATAATCCAATCTGCCACTATCTTTTGCTGAGACTGCTCCAGTGGTTCTCTAAGTGCTTTTCTCAAATCAGCTCTGGCCCCCATCTAGGTCTGTGCTTTCCCACCAGAGCCTTCATTTAAAGTAAAATCAATCATTTCACTTCTTACTTAAAACCCCTTAGTGACTTATCGTTGCTCCTGTAACAGCAGCCCAAATCTTAACCTGACCCTGCAGAGGTTGGTTGTTCTTTTCACTTTTTGGATAGTAGGCATTCAGCCAGGAGTACTTCACCTCCTGTTCACCTAATGCACTCCCACTCTTCCTTTAGAATTCAGCTCAACCATCACTTCCTTAGGGAAGCCCTTAACGTTCAACTTCTCCTGACTTGGTCAGTTCCCTTTTACATGCTTTCGGTGTGCCTAGAACCTCTTCTATTTGTAGTTATTACAGTTTTAAGTATATATGTATTAGTGTGATTCTTTAATACTGGACTCCATCACCAGACTCTAAGCTCCATGAGGACAGAGAACCAGGTGTGTTTCTACTACCGTATCTTCAATGCCAAGCACAGTGTCTAGAACATAGCAGATGTTACACAATATTTACTGGGTGAAAGAATTATAACTTAAAATGAGACATCAGTTTTTATATACTCAGCAAGGATAACAGTAAATTTTTTTCTGGGTGACAATTCTGCCACATCACAAAGTTGGAACAATTTTATGATCCAACATACGGAGATTGGCTAAATATGTATGCTTTTGAAGTGAGCACAGGAGATTGGCTAAATAAACTAACATGTATCTATGTATTGAAATATGATTGAGCATTAAGAATAACATTGAAGAAGCATACTTAAAGACGTCCATGATATCGGCTGATGCAGGGGAAACAGTGGGTTATAAAACCATATGTATAATATGATTCCGTTTGTAAAAATAAACAGCCATAGAAAAATATCTCAAGGAAAAACAGCACTGTGACAACAAGGGTTATTTCTAAATGGTAGAATTATGAGTGATTTTTGTATTTCTATTTTTGCTTATCTGTATTTTGTGCAATAAAATACATACCCATTTTATAATAAGAAAATGGGAATTTATAAAAGGGGAATCACACTAAGTTGCTGTAATGATAGTCTATAGATTCAAAGAAAGTCTGTTAATTAGCAGTAAGAAAACAATTTTTCTCAGAGACTTTCTATAACTTCTATAATATTCCTCTTTTGTTTTTTTCTGAGTGACTATAAATTAAAGAATATTTGGGGGGACTAGTAATGGGTAGATTGAATAAAGACTTAAACTATGTGTATAAATACTAAAAATGTAAGAACAAAATATGTTGATTCCAATAAACCAATATCACATGAAGTATAGCACTTAAAGGGAAATATGCTGTATATTTATCATATTTATCATATTATATTTATTATTATATGATATTTATTATATTAATTATTTTTAAAACTAAACAGAATTTATCTTATTTTAATATTTAATTTTAAATATTTTAAAAATAATATTATATAACAATAATTTTCTTGGCTTTAATATTTACATAAGTATTGTTATATAATCCAAAAGAAATTAGTTCAATGCTCATAAAACATTTAATTAAGTTCTAATTAAATTTTTTTGTTTGAGGCAGTCTTTAAATAGTTACAATCATGTCCCCATTGACTTAATCTTCATACATAGTCATAAATTAAAATCAAACTTTAACACACCACACTACTGACTTAGTAAGTTCATTCCCCTTCACAGTTTCATCTAAGACCTTACTGGGATAAACAAAAGCAAAGAATAACTGCTGAAGTATCTTTGGAACTTTTTGGTTAAGTCTCAAACTAGAAAGGACATTAATGATGTGGCCATCAGTTGTCATAAAAGTCATATGACAAACTCTTTATAAAAAAGCAGCTTATTTATTTTAGGATGACAATAAATTGTTCAGGATCCTGGGCAGGAAAACCACTCATTCTGAATTCTGGAAAATATTCAAGTTTGAACATATTTGTATGTAGTTTGCTCATTTTTGTTTAATTTATCCTATCCAATTTTACTAGGAAAATCCTATTTATTCAAACTAACCATAATTAATATTGGGTGTTTTTTTTGTGTTCAACATGTGGTTGTAATATAATTTTATGTTTGAGGCTATGTGAAAAAATACCTCATGAGAATTAGATCATTAGTCTATGAAGAAATATTAAAAGCCTTGGGCAAGGGTTTTGGAACTAGCACTGGAAATAGTTTATCAATTTTTTTTTAATTTCAGGATTAGGTCTAATTTATTTTAGGGCCAGATGTTTATGACTTTTATTACAAAGTAACACCTGTTTTTTCTAGTTCTTAATTATTAAGAGGAATGACAATGAATTAATTTTTTAAATGAAATATGCATTATTTGAAATACATCACAATAGAACTATTCAAATAGGCCTTGAGAAGTTCTTTATTTAATAAACAATAAGGGAATGGCCACTTTATTATGCAAAATGGAACATTATTTACTTATCTTTTTACAATAATTCAAAAGTAAGCATTCTTTATCTGCATAGGTTTCTTGCAGCAAATGCCAAAAAAATGACTTAGTCTTTTTGATTAGAACAAAAAACTCAGTACATGTCACTAGGCGTATAGTAAGCAAATAGAAGGTACTAGCTAGCATAATATGAAGTGTTATCTCCAGACAACAACATGTTCTCAATAGGTAGATTTATTAATTCCATCATGCATTTCATTGAAATGGTTATACACAGATGGACAGGCGTCACACACACACACACACACACACACACTCACGCGCGTGCACGCGCCAAACTTCATAGAGATGGATGAGCAGTTCACTCAATCACTACAAGAACGGAAAGGGCAAAAATTCATCACAAATAGGCAAAAGCAATGTAGGATATCGGGGTTGAAAGCTACAGATACAATCTAGATCTCAGAAGATGAGAAATGTGAATGAACCTGATGGCAGTCTGATGAATGATAGGGGAAAAAAGAGAACAGAAAGTTTTATTCATAGTATTTTTGATAAGTCAGTCATTGTCAACTAGGCAGTGCTGATGGGAAAACAGGAGAGATTAGGAGAGGATAACAAACGGCCTACTTCCCACTGTGGGGATTACATACAGTAAAGGTCTTTTGGTCAATGCTGGCACATTTATTTGGAATCTATAATCTATATTCTGTTTTGTACTCTTTAAAAATATTTTAATGGTAATAAGCATTAAATTTAGAAGATTAGCACCAAGTATGGCAACATTTCTTCTACATGGAGCTGAAGAAATAAGAAATTTGGTAAAGCATCTTAGTTTGACTTGTTCTTCTCTTGCCCTTTCTATTTCCCATCTTAAAATTGTTATTGCCCAAGAAATATAGGTCTCTTTATAAGAACTTTTCAAAATACCTGAAGTTTAATTATCTGGTCAAGGAAGACAAAGAAGATTTATATTATAATATATAATATTATTTTTTTTTAATTTTTTTTTTTAATGTTTTTATTTATTTCTAGGAGAGAGAGAGAGAGACAGAATGAGCAGGGGAGGGTCAGAGAGAGAGAGAAACAAAAACTGAAAAAGGCTCCAGGCTCTGAGCTGGCAGTCAGCACAGAGCCCGACGCGGGGCTCGAACCCACGAACCGTGAGATCATGACCCAAGCGAAAGTCGGATGCTCAACCGGCTAAGCCACCCAGGCGCCCCATATAATATATAATATTATTATATTAACTTATTTTAACCAAACTAAAAATAATACAACTTAGGCATCTCTTCATATTTCAGAATTCTGTAGATCAGTTGGAAACAATAACTTCTAGAAAAGGGATTAGGCCTAAAATTAACTAGTATATTGCTTCCCTGAGAGGAAAATACCATGATCCTTTACTTCTAATAATATGCCATTGCAGATATTGTATAGATGTCAGAGAAAGCACAGCAAAAACAAAAAGAATATGTAGATGACAAACAAAGAGAACAGCAAACCATTGGCCGATTATCCCACCTGTTGACTAGATAGTCCCAGTTGAGTTGAACCCAATTCCAGGCCATTCTCTTCCCATAGCTGTTATATGAGATGTATCGGATGACTGTAAACACATCCTGAGTTTTAATAAGATTTGGGTCCTTAAGCAAATCCAAATATCTAACAAAATCCAAAGAGAAACACGATTCAAATTTTAACTATTAACTTTTAAAAATAAATTGCACTTATTGAATAGAAGCACTTCACCCACTTACTTATTATCCCACTAACCTAAAAAAAAAAAAAATGAGCCAGCAAATTAAGGAAAAATATTTATACTTTTATTCTAGAGGGTAACAGTTACATCTTATTTGTTCTTCCCTACATTGTAAGAAATAACCTTCTAATGTAACCTATATGGTTAGATTAATTAACTATAATTATAGTGTAATGCAAATAAGTCCAACATAAATTAAGTGTCCAAATCAATAGATTTTTATTAACTTTATGCCAGGGCTGTACCTAGAGGAAATACCTCGACATACTCTAGACCAGTGAACTTCCAGAAACTGCACTTTAGTAGTGGTATTGAATTTCTGTGTAACTTATCTTTCATCCTCTAATTTATAAATGTCATAGTAAGGCATGGAAGCACTTGCTGATTTTATCATCAGATAATCAGCACAATGCCATCAAAATAATGGATCAATATGATGTTTTATGGAGTGGCGAAATGATCAGGGTTTTGATAGACTATTTTAGGGCAGAGAGCAAGAGAATTGACATCTACCCCAAGACAAGATGGCAAAGAAGTATTGTTGGCTCTGCTAGGTGGATACAATGTGTTTTGAATAGTCCTTACAAATTGGTTATTGCATTGTAATTTCCTATTTATATTCTGCCTCTCTCATGAGCTATAAGCTTCTCAAGGATAGATATCATGTCTTATTCATTTTTATTCCCACAATTTATATACCTATACATAGAAAGGACATCCTAAGTGTTGGCTAAATGAATGAAGTAAATAATTCAGAAACCGTAACTAAACAACAAATGAATTAAGGCAGATGTTAGTTGATTTGGAGGCATAAGTGTAGTGGGAGAAGATTCATAGCTGGTCTTCAAGCAATCTTTCTGAGTGGAATGTAAATATATTGGGGTGTATGTGTGTGTGTGTGTGTGTGTGTGTGTGTATATACATATTGTGGCAGACACTCCTTCTCTGATGACAGAAACAATTTTGTTCTGGGCTTGGATCAAGGTATCCCTGATCCTAGGGAAGTAGGTACGTTCTTACCCCAGCATCAGAGTATGATGATGGCCCAAATCAGTCAAAGGAATTCAAGTTTTTCCTAGTCAGCAAATGAGCAAGTGGTAGACCTAGCATATAACCCAGAATGATCAAGTGTGATCCAGTTCTGGTTATGAGGGGAAGTAGAGGTAACTCAACTTTAACATACAAGAACCTTGAGAAGAGGAACTCTCTGTTCTTATTCTGCTTTCACCTGACATATTTGTGTGAAGACAATATATTTGGAGCTCTAGAAGTTATGAGACATCCAATATGTTGAGGATGGCAGAATAAAAGAGAAACACCCCAGGTCCTGAATGAAAACTTTGAACCACTGCTCACACCTAGAAACTGCCTACTTCCAGAATGTTTTCATGTAAGGTTACATTTCTTTATTCCACTCTTACAAGGATATTTTGTTTCTCACCAGGAAAGTAAGTTTTAATATATGTTCTTGGAAATGTGTTTTACTTTAATTGGCATCTTAAAGTGACACATAAACCATCAAATGCCATTCATATAAGTGAAAAAAAAAGGTACCTGGACAGAAGAGTAACATTCTTCACTGATGCTAATCCGTATAGCAGCTTTTCTTTTTCCTGAGCTAATGAAGTTTTCTGGTATTGATCAAGAGTGTAGTTCCATGAAGTCTCATTACCAGAATTCTGCATTCCATACCGATATACCAGAAGCCTGAGATTTACAGGAAGCCTAGAAGAAGAAACAGCGTTTCAGAGATTTTTAACTCTTCATTTCTAAGTTTGAAGGCCTCTAGAAATGAACACATGATGAACAGTCACCTTACAGTCCCAGTCAGCCACTCTTCAAATAATTGGGTAGCATTGTCCAAGGCTTCTCTGTCTCCCATCTTGCATGCAAGCCCCAACAAAGAGGCACGCAGTAACCTTAAAAAACAAACACACACAAAGCTGGGTTCTGGAGCACTTTTTAACATGTTTTAATATACATCAACAAATAATAAATGAAAATTTAAAAATGTAAGAAATAACTTTTTAAGGTGGTCTCCAGTATCATTCCATCCCAGAAAATCTGCAATGGGCTTCACTTGATTTTGGAAGTATTCCTAAAATAAAAGCAACCATGTACAGTGAGTAAGAATTTACTATTTATCAAGTTTCTCATTTATTATAATATAAAGCCCCTGTTGTAAGCTTCTTTCATACTAGTCCACAGAACTTTGGGTCTCTTCTTAGGGAAGGGATGTATTCGGCTCTTATCACATTGCAAATTTGCTTCAGTACTGAAGATAAGAACATCCTAGATCATTCTCAAATGTTTTATAAAAGTTTGGGTAAGCCCCTTTTAACCTCTACTTTTTAGTTAACATTTGTAATAAGTAACACCTGACCTACATACTGCACTAAGAAGATGAATCAAGTACTGATGACATTAAAATAGTGATAACTAATGTATGTATATTGCTTTTGGATTTACAAAGGGTGTTTATTTTATATGATCTGCTCTAACCCGTTGCCATGGACAGTGAGGTGCTGACATTCCTTTTGTATAAAGGAAATGAAGATTCACAAATATTAAAACATTTGTCCAAGTTATTGCATTCAGTAAGTAGAAGAGCTAAAGATTTGAATCCAGAATTTCTTTAAAATTACAAGTGACCAAGCAAAGCGTGGCAGAAGTCACAAAACAAAGTAATTACAATGAATTATCATAAAGTCTCAATGTGGAAATAACAACAGTAAGAATAAGGAAATTTGATGTTATATTTTGATAAGAATGAATTCATTTTAACATCGATAAGTCTATTAAAAATAAGATCTAGTTAGCATCTTGTCTATTTTAACAAAATTATTAACTCTTGTATTCTTTCTAGTACTAAAATATATCATTACATGGTCTACTGAACCAGAAATATGGATACATTTCAAGTTGGAAAAAAATAGAGATAGCATCTCCTTGGTTTGACTAGTCATGTCATTGTACTTTCATTTCATTTGGCAGGCGGATGTGCTTTGGAAGCTACTTCTCTCAGAAATATCTCTATTCTTTTAAATGCTACACATTTACTTTCATAAGATCTATCATTAACATCACCTGAATCACAGGGTAAAGCTCTTTATCATCTTCAAACATGCTAATGATATAGGTTATGGCTGAAATTACTCTCTGCCATGGTAAATAATCTTCTTCCATTCTGAGATACTTGGTCAGGTTTAGAGCCATCTTATAATCTAGAAGTTGAGCTCTAAGGAAGAGAAAAAAACACAGTTAATCAAAAACCATAGACTAGTACTCATTTGACTGAAAGTACTTATATGGAAATCACAGAATTCAACATTAATGAGAATCCTTCTATTAAACAATTAAGAAAATGCATTTATATTGTGGGGCCAAATCAAAGAGGTTTGTTTGCATGATGCGTTAGTGATTTCATACTTTCAGTAGTAAAGAGGAAAGCAGAGCAATGAAAAGTACATTTGAAAAATTGCTGAGGTGAAATTTTGGGTAAAAGCCATTTAGCTATGGTTAATATTGATGAATAGACATAAGCTGATTACAATATACAAATGTACCACAATAAATATAACTTATTGAAATTATTTACATTTGATATGAGGAAGCATGAATAACAATACTCATGAATTATGAATACTTAAAACATTCCAATTCAACTTATATTTCCCATTAAAACATCTCCTTTTTAATACACTTCCAAATAATACTAATAAATATAGATTTTGTTTTTCCACAAAATCTGAAGTTTCTATTGACATTTCAAAGTTTAAAGAATCCAATTTCTTCCTTCTTAAAAGGGATTCTTTTCAAATACTGTTTTCAGAAATCTGTTATCCTCGGGGCACCTGGGTGGCTCAGTTGGTTAAGCGACCGATTTTGGCTCAGGTCATGATCTCCCAGCTTGTGGGTTCGAGCCCTGCATCAGGCTCTGTGCTGATAGCTCAGAGCCTGGATCCTGCTTCAGATTCTGTGTCTCTCTCTCTCCCTCTCTCTCTGGCCTTCTCTCACTCATGATCTCTCTCTCTCAAAAATAAATAAAACATTAAAAAATTAAAAAAAAAAAGAAATCTGTTACACCTCAAATTTTAGACTAGGTTTTAAAAAGAATCTTAGATGGGAATCCTGTCTTTTCAAATTACATTTTGAAAGTTTAAATTAAGTAACAAATGTTAAATTTTTGAGTTAGTAACACTGACGTGTTGGCTATTATGTTTGACATTATTTTGTGAATGAAGAAGAAAGTAAATTTATCTTGACTTCTTCCCAAGAGTTTGATTATAGACAGACAGATAAGAATAAAAATCTTTAGTATCATTTGATCTGCATAAGGAGATACGATACAGAGCTTGTTTTCAGTTCAGAGAGTTGATTTCCCCTATTTTCTCAGTTCCTGATCTCATTTAGAAGGAGATTTAGAAGGCATTCGGCCTCCCTTAATAAAAGTATAAATAATATGGAGGAATTGTGTGTTTTATTTAGAATGTTTGTTAAGTAAAAAAATTGTAGAATTTTGTATTCATACTTGAAACTTGAGAATTTTCTCATTTTAATGATTCTATATTTTCCCCAGTGGATAAAGCAACAACTATGTCCAGTTGGTGATTTTTTAAAGGTGGGTATAAAGAATAGTTGTTGCTCTGAGCATCAATTTAGCAAAGAGAATAATGAAAGTTTAGGAAGAATGACAGATTGTTTGGTCAGAAACCAAGTGGGCTGTACATTTCAGGTAGGTGAAAGGCTTAGAAGGAATGAGTCTTGGTTACTAAGGCCAGAAGAATTGGCTAATTAGGTAGCATAAGTACAAGTAAGAAGGGAATATTACGTATTCAAATGTTGAAAATCAATATCCTATCCTGTTGCCTTATTTTTTCCAACATGCTTGATAGCTATGCAATAGTTCCATTTGGTATCACTTGTTTTCTTTAAGTCTGAGTCATTTGGTCAGAAGGCTGGACTGGGAACAAAAGCTGGTAATTAAAGGAATAACATTTTGAGAAATTAGCTGATGCACCTTTATTTTCCCACAAATTACTTTATTCCGCAGATCCTACTGGTAGGGCAGAAAGAGAGGGAGACATAGAATTTGAAGCAGCCTCCAGGCTCTGAGCTGTCAGCACAGAGCCCAACACAGGGCTTGAACTCATAAGCAGCAAGATCATGGACCTGAGCCAAAGTCAGACTCTTAACCTAACCAACTGAGCCACTCAGGTGCTTCAAAGAGCAGTATCATTTAGAACTACGATTCTTAAATTTACACAGGTGTCAGCAACACCTAGAAAGTTCATTCAGTCACATACTCCTGATTTAGCAGGGGCTCTGATTTAGCAGGTTTGGGGTAGAGCCTAAGAATCTGCATTTCTCACAAGCTACTAGGTAGTGTTGATACCACTGCGACCACATGTGAAGATCTGCTTTTGAGAACAAAGACATCTATAGTCCCCTTCCCAAATGCCCTTACAGTCCTGTGTTGGCTCACAGCTGCCACCTTCTTCAGAGAATAGCCCTTGGCCAAATACATCCATCCTGCCTAAAAGGTTATGCAATCACCACCCCTGGCCATTAATTCTCAGATTCAGGAATACAATAAGCCAACATGCTTCCCTCAAGTTGGACCCACCCTTCAGCACAATTCATAGCTTTCTAGTGGAATGTAGCAAAGCTAGACTCCATCTGAGACCATCTTATAGCTTAGCTTTTTATCCCTGCCCCATCCTGTTTCTCATACTCCCTATCTCAGGAGAGTTCTCTCTCAACAAACTACACATACATTAACCTGCATTTCACACTGTTCCTAGGGAACTTAACCTAGGATAGCATTCTTATAAAACTTTGAGTCTCAAACCCCATTAGTTAAATCCACAGACATACAGCAGTTCTGAAAGCCAGATGGGGTTAAGAATTTTCTTTATTCAAAAATCTTCCAGGGACACCTGGGTGGCTCAATCAGTTGAGTGTTCGAGTCTTCATTTTGGCTCAGGTCATGATCTCAGGTTCATGAGAGGAAGCCAGGAATTGGGCTCTGCACTGAAAGTGTGGAGGCTCTTTGGGATTTTCTCTCTTTCCCTCTCACTCTGCCCCTCCTCTGCTCACATTTTCTTTCTCTCTCTCTCTCAAAATCAGTAATCATTAAAAAAAAAATCTCCCATGGGGCGCCTGGGTGGCTTAGTCGGTTAAGCATCCGACTTTCGCTTAAGTCATGATCTTGTGGTTCATGGGTTCGGGCCCCGCGTCGGGCTCTGTGCTGACTGCCAGCTCAGAGCCTGGAGCCTGTTTCAGTCTGTGACTCCCTCTCTCTCTGACCCTCCCCTGCTCACGCTGTCTCTCTCTCTCTCTCCTAGAAATAAATAAAACATTAAAAAAAAAAATCTCCCATCTATCTAGTAGAAGCCTAGCCTGGGTTTAAACTGTCCTACAATCCAGAGAAAATGGAAGCTAAAACTTAAAGTGTCCACCAAACTCAACTGACAAGAGGACAAATGGGTCTAATGAGAGAATTCTTGCTCTCCTATCTTGGGTGGGGACTCCTGGTTTCAAAGGGTTTGTTTTTGCCTCCCTGGATGTGACCTGGAAAGACAATACAGTCCTCAGAGAAGCTGAGTAAAGCATAGTGTCTTATCAAACATTGCTCTTTACTGGGACATTAGAAAGAGTTCAAAGAGGTACCTGGGTGGAAGGAGCTGACCTCATGGGCTCATGTTACCCAGCAGAGCCTGGGTGGTGTGGAGAATTTCAAAAGTTCCCATGTGTCTGATCTCTCAGTGTTCACTTGCCAGTTCTGATTTCTGGATTAAAACAGCCTCTTTGCAAACAAATAGATCCTTTTTAAAGTCTTAGCCAATTACTCTACTTCCCCTTCTTTAAAATGGAATCCATGGGCAGTGTTGGGGCAGGGGGAAGGTTGGGAGGGTGAAGTTGCTTATCCAGGTCTGTGTTGTGCTCTGCTCACTCCTGAACACATCTATAAAATGGTAAAAGTAGTGACCTAGAGGTCTGTAACCTTGGCATGGCTGAAGGTCACTTGGCTGTCTTTATTTGCTAATCTGCTCCTCACCTTGGATGTCATAGGAGCCACTGCTCTGTGAAGCCTGGCCTATATTCTGTTTGGATCATTAGCTTAGGCAGCCTTTAAGCTGTCCTTTCTGCCATTCTTTCTTCACCTAGAGACCCCTGCTCCTGCCCACCAGCTTGCTAGCCAGTACTCTCAGCTTTCCCTTATGTTACTTTTCACCCCTCTGCTGGCTGGAGCACAGAGTGGGCTACAGAGCACAATATAAGCTACTGAAAAGGAAAAACCTACTTACTGTAACACATGGACAAAAAAGGATCCTTTCTGTCTCAATTTTGACAAGGCCCCTTGCCTAACCCCCTTGACCTAAATCCCAAGGTAAGATGCAGGCCCACCAAATTGGAACCAAAATGGTCAAGATAGATTTTTGTGACTCTTAGCTGATAACCCACCACTAGCCTGTTATAGGTGTTGGAGAGGCTAGGGGGAGAGAGACATTTTAAAAGAGGTCTTTAGGGGGGCACTGGATGGCTCAGTCAACTAAAAGCATCCGACTTCAGCTCAGGTCATGATCTCATGATTTGTGGGTTTGAGCCCCATGTCAGGCTCTGTGTTGACAGCTCAGAGCCTGGAGCCTGCTTCAGATTCTGTGTCTCCCTCTTCCTCTGTCCCACCCCCACTCGTACACTGTCTCTCTTTTTCTCTCTCTCAAAAATAAATAAACATTTTTAAAAATTTTAATAAAAATAAAATAGGGCTTTAGGGAGTGCTGTCAGTATACTGTGAATACTCACCTTCCACAGGGGAAAGGAGGATGCAAGAGGCTTTTCCCCTTCCATCAAGCCTAGGAAAAGGGGCTTTAATGAGACCACTTGATGAGTTTTACCTGTGTAACCTGGAGTTTGGGGGCACACTGGCCTGGTGTCTGATATCCCAAGAAATCTAAAGGATAAGAGACAATGGTTGACTACTGCTCTGACCTCAGAGTGAAGAGATAAGACTGCATGGGGGTGGCCCATCCTTTCAGACTTTGTTGGGGGAAAGATATATGAATACTTCCTATGGAGCAGATGTGATTCTGAAGTTTTCACTTGCTCACCTCAGGAATTCAGGAGAAAGACTCTTAGCAATAGAAATGGGTGTGGATGGCAAATGCCCGATGAACACAGCACACAAGGAAAAGAGTCAGTATCAAACATCTACAAAGTTCAGACAAGACCAAATATACACAGCATGTCAGGATCTTTCTTCCCTTCACCTGCTCTCCCTTGTGGGTCTCCTGGCCTTAGGTCTGGAGGAATCAGAGACAGCCCTGTGAGTCCGGGAGAAGTAGAAGTTCCCTGCAGCAAAATGAGGAGGACATCAAGCACCTTGTTCCCACGCAGGGAGCTGCCCTAAAATCCGCCTGGATTGGGGGCAGGGAGGAACTTTAAATGAAGTTGGTAACTTTGATGGTTTTACTGGACTGCCCATCTACTCAAACTGAGCCTGTCTGGGGGATTTGAAGTGTTGCGAGAATTTTTATTCCTTCTCTTGGACATATGTACCCATCTCGATATTCATCCAGGGCAGTACGATGACTGGCTCCTCAAATTTGGGGCCAGGGGAATCAAGAATGCATTTATTTTTAGATGTGCTCTTTCAGTCCTGCTTATGAAACACGATAGTTACATTTCTCTTTGAACAACCAAGTGGAACTGTATGAATTCTTATCCTATCACAGGCACTTACCTGTTTAACTACATGTTTATCATTTTTCTACCTAAAGTTTACTGGCAGACTCTATTTCCCTGAGTCCTGTTTTCCTCATATGTTATGGAAGGAAATTGGGTGATAGCTCAATAGTCCGGGTGGTAGCCCAGGTATTTTTCAGATGGGTTGCTGTGTGACTCTACATATTTTTTGGTTTTCAAATTTGTTTCACTTTCTTCCTTTCTATATCTCTTCAAAATTTTATGGAGCTATGGCCAAGGAGCTGAGCAAATGCGAGAGAGCCTTTCAATTCTGTGAATTATTTGCTTTATACACAGTTCCCAGAGAGAGCTGTTCAAGAGGCTTTGACTTCTTACAGCAAAAATAACTGTCTGCATTGTGTTGTGATGGGAATTAAACCATAAGATAGTGGAGTTCTGTTGTAACCTCTAACAGCCAAGAAGATGCCAAGCTTTGGAAAAGGTCATGATGCATTCAGAGGAGAGTTTCCCCCCAAAATGAATTCTTAATGGTTCTATTATTGTTTTAAAATATTATCTTCCTTTACCATTTCATTTCCCAGTCCTGTGCAGTGTCTGGTACAGTCAAGTGGTACACTTTAATTAAGCACTTGCTACAGGCCAGGCATTGTTTGGGGTGCTTTATGCGCGTTATTTCATTTATTTCTCACAAGAGTCTTACAAGGTCATCTCCATTCTACTCAAGAGTCAGAAAGAGGTTGAGAAATTTACTCAAGGTTATACAGAACCAAGATTTTAATCTGGTTCCTAAGCTCCTTTTTCAGCCCTACTCATTTTCTCCTTTAAACATGTTGAGAAGGTTTTCTGACTTCCAGTATATTATCTAGGAAGTCTGTGTAAAATAGTTCTCTCATGCCTTTAGTGATGGTATACTATCCCTCAGGTATGTATTCAGCTCATAATTAAAGAGCTTCTGCCATGGGCCAGTCATAGGAGCCGGGAATAAAATAAACAGGAACATGATCTGGGCTCCTACCATCACATAACTTACAGTTTGGTAGGTGAGACGGACAATTAATAAGAAATGACAGTATAATATTGTGGTGAAATACAGCATCCACAAAGGGACACCCAACACCGACAAAGGGGTCCAGCTCCAAAGGGGGCTTTTTGAGGAAGTAGTATCTCGCTCTCAAGTACACTGCTTATGTCTAGGATGAGGCCACTACAAAGCCAGCAAAACCAGTTGGCTATGATCCTCGCTCCTACAAAAGTATCAGAAATTCAACAAATACCTGTTGAATTAGTGTTGTTAAACCACTTGAAAACAAAACAAAACCAAAGACATAAAAGGTACTGTGGTTACTACTCTCCCATTTCCCCAATATATGTTGATTATTTTTTCCTAAGTGTAGGTTACCTTCAAGTCATGGGGGGGGGGGGGAAGTCAGATTTATTAAATGGTACCTTAGTTCTGATCTGTCCTAGAACACCATGTCTCATCCTTCTTACCTTGATGACCTGAACAAGATTTGACAACTCTAACCATAAAATCATACAATGGGCTTAGGCTGATAGAACTAAGTTAATGAAATACATTGTCATTTTATTAAATCAAATTATGAAAGAGCACTTTGGAGCATTTGCAAATGTCACTCCTAATTAGCTCAAGAGTTCTGATATAGTCAAACCCTAGTCAAAGGTGAGTTTTTGTGGGTCTGATAAGAGCTAATAGCAGTATTTGGGCTATGAGGCTTATACGGGTTTTTAAAGAGAGTGTTAAGGAAAACGATGATGTTATAAATAGTGGCCTTGGATATTTTAAGCATAATTAATACTTAAACATTGTTGCAATTCATTAAAAAAAGAGATTTGTGATAAAATTCACAGTATTTTAAATAGTCTAATCTCATTCCAAAAATCACCTTGCCAAGGCAAAAGCATCATCGATAAGACTTGCACGGTCAGCAGAAGAAAACCCCTGGGAAGAAGAAGAAAATGAGGTAAGAAACACAATTCCTAAAGCAAAGAATGTTGAGAGAAATTAACATCATCAAGCTGCTGTCTTAGAACAAAAATAAAACAATTCACAACCACTGCTACTCTTACCTTGTAGTTGAAGGAAAGATTGGTAGCTATCCATTCCCAAGTTGGTACTTCATAATTTACACGATAAAACCCAATATGATCTGGGTTTATTTTGAGAAAAACATTTCCAGCAGGATTAGAAGAGTTCAAAGTGATTCCTGTGGTGGTAAATAAACACTAATGAGAAACATGTTTGCATATACTGTAAACACAGAGAAATTAGGCCCAGAGGGTCAGAGGAAAAGAAAAGAAATATCAGCTCAAGGAGTCAAGTTTGATTTGGATCCAAAGCCCCAAAGCCTAATTCTTATTTAGTTGCCTAATTTTAGAATGTCACTGTAGTGCATGAGCTGAAAAAGAATAACTTATGTAAATAAGTGTCCTGTGATTTGTGACTTATACTTCCTACTGGTAGAAGCTTGCCAATGGAGTGAAATAATTCTGTGCTTGTCAATCCTTCAACAAAAGTAAACAATGCCAAAAGACAGAGCGGTCCATGCTTCTGGGGGTAGTCCATATATTTCTAACTGTGACAGATTAATTACACAAAGAATATGCACTGGGCAGTTTGGGGAGGTGATAAAAATGTAAACATTTAAAAGAATACTTTATTAAAACCAACATTCAAATTGATGGAAATAGCTATTGCCTACCACAATGATGCTCTGAGAATCAGTAATGCTTTTAAAATGTCAAGAAGGCTTGCAATAGAACTGAAATCCAAATACAACTTTCTTGATTTTATAATCCATTTCATACTTGCTCTTCCAATTTTATTTATCTTTGTAAAGTCTTCTGTTTCCTTATTTCAGTTGATCGCATCAATGCTTTTCATCAATGGATTTGCCAAATTAACTCTCTTTGTAAAGTAGCATCCAGTATTTACACAGGCCTCTAGTATATAGAGTTTAGAAGCTCAGCATTGAAGGAACAGAGACTATGTTTGAGATAAAAAATATTCACTTAAAATAATAGCTGTGCTCTGACATGACCAGTATTTATTTGTTAGCGTTTCTTCTATTCTCTTTAATTCATATACTCTCTTGTTTGCATGGAAAATATGCAATGTAAGTAATGGTGTGGGAATACTTAGGGTATTTGAAAAAGTTCAATTTTAATGTAGTGATGATATAGGATGTGATAGGAAAATAGAAGATGAAGCTGGAAATAAAGTCTGGGGCTTCAAAGTGCAAGAGTCACATGCCATGTGAAGCAATCCATCTTGTGCGAGATGGTTAGATAGAGAAGATTTTTAAGCAGGGAAATAACATGCTCATCTGCTCTGTAGAAAGGTACTTTTGAGAGTGATGTGAGAAACATATTGGAAGGAGATTTTAGAGTCTCTTATCATAGCCTAGGGCAAGAAGGAATGAGGGCTTATTCTAATGTGGAGGTAATGAAAAAAGAAAGGAAGTGATATATTCAAGAGACACATCACAGGTAAAATCAACAGTTGGTTTTCTTACTTGATGTGGAAAGTCAGAGAAGGGAAAAATGGCTTGCATGATTGGGTAAGTAATGATGTTGCCATTACAGAATAGAGGAAGATGAGTTCGTCTGGGAGGAAAGATGATTTAAATTTTGGAAGTGTTCACAGGTTTGGAAGATCTCCAGGACACAGTAGTTTTTCATAATATATGAGTAAGCTCTTCAACAAGACAATACTTTTTTTAAGGAACATTCAGAGTAGATACTTAACAAATTATAAACCTTTACCTCACTCATGAAGTATTTATCTTTCTTTGTCATTCTCCCATGGACAAGTTGTTGAAAGGAAGCTAATCTTTTGGCAACCGTACGCTTTGAATGTTTGTATCTGGAGGAGAGCCTCTTGCTAAGCACAGAGCCATATGTTACAGGAGAAAGAACATGAACTTTAGAGTCTGACAGATCTAGGATAAAACCCTTGCTCTGTGACCAACTAGCTGTGTGATCCTGGCCAAATCACTTGACCTCTCTGTGTCCCAGTTCACCATAAGGGAAAGAGGGATAAAAATCCCTCACAAGACTGTTGTGAAGATTAAAGAAGATAACATCGGTAAAGTGTTGGTCACACGGTTATTTGTCCAACAGATGGTAGCTATCCTCATTATTATGAAAGGGGATATGCCACAGTTCTATAAATAGCGAGGCAAATATAAATAACATTGAGAAGTTCCTGGCAATCCATCTAAATACTGCAGTATTTTAGTGTGCTTTATATATACCTAGTTAAGCCTGTCTCGAGTTACTGTGATTTTTCTCACTTTATAGATGAGGAAGCTGAGATCCAGGAAGTCAGTAGTTATGGACTTTCCAAGTTCATGCTACTTTCAGAACAGTTGTCAACAGCAAAATACTGTTGGGTTGTTTAGTTGCATAGTGAAGTAAGTAGGACTAAAATACTGGTGCCTGTTTCCAGCGGCACATGGAAGTCAGGGTGTATATTTCCTTTCGTTTCTCCACTTACTATTAATTTTTTTATGATTTTAATGGTCATATGTGGTCCTTACAGTTCCAAATATGTATTTGGAAAATAACCAAAAAAGTATAATGAAGAATATAAAATTTACCCACCACTAGTTAACATAATGTTTATTTCTACTATGTGTGTGTCTTCTATATATGTGCATAAACACTCACACAATATACATAATGGAACTTTACTGTTTTTAGGATTCGTAATCCTTTTCATTTAAAAGTATATTGCATGGGGCACCTGGGTGGCTCAGTCTGTTAAGCAACAGACTCTTGATTTTGGCTTAGGTTGTGATCTCTTGGTTAGGTTCATGAGTTCGAGCCCCGCATTGGGCTCTGTGCTGACAACATAGAGCCTGCTTGGGATATTCTCTCTCTCCCTTCCTCCCTCCCCGCACCTCTCTTTCTCTGTCCCTCCCCCACTCTCGCTTTCTCACTCTCTCAAAATAAATGAATAAACTTAAAAAATATGTATTGTAAACACCTTGCCATTTTGTTTTCCATGCAGAGTTCCCTGACTATCGGGGGAAACTAACACATTCCTGTGAAACCTTTCATAAGCTGAAACGGCATAGAGAAAATAGTATCTCCCACTTTCTAAAAGTATTAATATCACTTTGTTTTTATGAAAGACTAGTACCAATTGTGGCTAACTGAAAGAAATCCAAGCACCATGTTCATTTTTATGAAAAAAGCCATTACCGTACTAATATAGGTCTTTTGTAAAAATGAAAAGGCAGAACATAAACTTTCAGAAAGCAGGGGGATACTTGTATGTGAAAATGGAACTTTAATGGCGACACAACACCCTGTCATTCAATTTATAAATTATCTTGTTCTGTTTCTTGCTAGTTTTAGGTATAAAAGTGTTAAATGAATTATTTCTGGGTAGGAGCTCTTTATAGAAAATTCCTTTTTCCTTTATTTGTCTAGCTGGTGGAGAAGACAGATAATTCCTTTTTTTTTTTCAAAATTTCATCCAGGAGCTAATTAATCGCAATCCAGATAGAGTTCAGTAATAGAACTCACGTAACAGGTCTTTAATACAGGCTTACCTCACTTTATTGAAATTTGCTTCCTTGTGCTTTGCAGATACAGCATTTTTTTTTTTTTTTAACAGATTGAAGGTTTGTAGCAGCCTACAAACCAATGGAGCAAATCCATTGGCATCATTTTTCCAACAGCACTTGCTCACATGTGTCTCTATGTCACATTTGGGTAATTTTTGCAACATTTTAAACTTTTTCATTACTACTATATTTGTTATGGTGATCTGTACTCAGTGATTATGACTCACTGAAAGCTCAGATAATGGTTAGTAATTGTAGCAATAAAGTATTTTTTGACTAAGGTATGTCCATTGTTTTTTAGACATAAAAATAATGCTGTTGCACACTTAACAGACTACAGTGTAGTGTAAACATAACTTTTATGTTACAGAGTGGGAAACCAAAAAATTTGTTTGACTTGCCTTACTGCAATATTCACTCCATTGTGGTAGTCTAGAGCCAAATCTGTAATATCTCTGAGGCATGCCTGTATATTATTTTCTATAAATAATTACAACAAACTTTAGACAACTAGACATCTTGTGATAGCTTGATAATTCTAGAGAAAGAAATGTTTTCCTTTAGTGATGCAAACGCTTGTTACGTTGATCCTTTAAGCAAATTATTTTTCAGTGTAAAATGATAGTTTGTGTATCACTTAATAGTAAAACAGCTAAAAGATACAAAAGTAGTAATTTTTGACTAATGACACACAATTTACACTTGGGGAGCTAGAAGAAAGAGAAAGACAGGATTTCTAAGTTATTATTTGGAAGTGAGCCACCTAAAAGAGATAACAGGACAGTAATACCTCCATCAGACTGTTGCATGAATAAGAAACTTTCATCGCATCAAAATAGCCTCTAAATACAATAATTAGACTCCCCTGGTTAATGCAATATATAAAGCTATCACAGCTTGATGAAATCTCTAAAATAATTGATCTACCTTAACTCTCTCTTTACTCTTATTAAGTAAACTTTCTTCCTGGAAGGAGACACCTAATTAGCTGGCATGAGTATTCTGGTTCACCTTGGCCAGTGTGTTTTTATTTGTATAAATTAACAAATTAGCATTCTTATATGTTTGCTTTGTGTGAATAAATCTTTCAAGACTTGGTTGGCCAGGGATGAGTTGATGAAACTGAGCTTTTGAATCTGCAAAACTGAATTCATAATGACCCAATCAAAATTCAAATGTTCCAAGAGGCTCAGCTTGAAAGAATGAAGTCTCTCCTTCTCTTTGTTATTAAATTTAAAAATATATGCCCATAATTATTTTGATATGAAATATACTTAACTATAACTACTATCAAATTCTAGTAATATTCTATTTATATGTACTCAGAATTTGGTTATTTAAACCATCCAGAATGTATCCTCAAACCTGAAAGAGTTATGAAAACAGTCATCACAAAGTCATTACCATCTCCTATGGCCTAGGAGAAACTTAGGCCATTACAAACGCCTATCTGAAAATGTTATGTTTTAGTAAGATTAGTTATCTGACATCACGTAATGACCTTTAAGTCTTCTAAATGTTAGGAAGCAGCAGATCAAAAAGCAAAAAGGTGGTATATTACTAAGTGTAGGTGCACTGACAAAATAGTAAGCAGTACTAAAGATAGAGGCATAATTAAAGTATACACATGCATCCTTTAAAAGCACAGCAGTCTGAAGGCAAACACGCCTTCATTAAGCAAGGACTTAACTAAACTCTTAGTAACTCTAAAGAGGTGCACAGAACCTTGTTGGGAATAGGGTGGTATCCTGACCTGCCATCAAGGAGTTTGATGTATAGATTATATCTTCAAGGAGTTTATAATTTACTTGAAAAAGAAAAGACAGAGCATATGAAGGTTAAACAATGATATTTAAAATATAAAGAAATAATACTAGGAATAAGGAAGGATTGATTATACTGATTGCACAAAACATACTATAAACAGTGAGCAGAGAGATTATGCAGGGCAGGTAGAATAGCCTGAGAAGTATCTGTGATAGAGGTCCTCTATAAATTACATGTTAAATTTGTTTCATGTTTCAAACATCATATGCAACACAAATGTAAATAAAAGGCCTTGGGGAAAGTCCCAACATTGCCTGGGAAATCTCTAACTGATGAATCATCAGAGAAACCAAGAGGAGGGAGGTAGGGCTGGTAACCTGAGCTGATTGTCCATTCAGTGCACTTGGAACGTGTTTGTCATCTGTGCTCTGAGCTGAGACCTGAAGATGTCCCCAAACAGGAAACAGGAACTTATTGCATAGCCTAAAAATGGAGCAGGCGCTTTGAAGTAGGAAGAGATGCCTAGTTTGCTTCTGGCTAAGTGAGCAGTCATGATTCTGAAATTTCAGATAAAGACAGATTTGTCTTCAAAGCTCTGTGAACATTAGAGCCTCTCCATTCATTCTTTCACTTATTCATTCAATAAACAATTACTGGGTATCTGCTGAAGATATAGAACAATCACAATAATGAAAAACAATAAGCTCCATTTCCTTAAGAAATATTCTATGGGGAGGGGAAAGACAGCTAAATTAATAGTTGTAGCCAAAAAATGTGTTCAATGTAAAGACAGAAGGATATAGTCGCTGGAAGAGCCTTCTGCCCTCACTTTCCCACTAGCATTCTCTGTCCAAAGTGCAGTTCTTGTCTACACTTGGTCAATCCTATCATCCATTGAAACACTACTTTTACCACCCCTAACTCTAGCCTAGATGTCGTTTTCTTTGGCAACCTTTCCTGAAGCCCCAACTCTAGGCCAGTGCTTCCTTCAGTGAGCGCCCCTGTGGCCACACTAGACATTTATGACACATATTTCCCCGCCGACCCATCTGCACCTCCCCTGACAGTAAGCATGAAGAGGGTAAGGACTTTTTTTCCCTCACCATTATCTCCATGCCTACCACTGTGTCTGGCCCTTAAGTGAGCTCTCAGTAAATACTTGCTTGAAAGAACTAGTTAATTAATTGGTGAATAAGGCTTAAATTTATTATTCAAATATTCTAATAAGTACGTTATCCATACAAAAAAAATGTTTATTGTTTAACTCTTCAGCTTTATTTTACAAAACACCTGAGTAAGCTTTAGTTATCTGCGAAATTCACTCTTTTTTTTTTTTTAATGTTTTTTTAAATTTATTTCTAGGAGAGAGAGAGAGACAGCGTGAGCAGGGGAGGGTCAGAGAGAGAGGGAGTCACAGACTCTGAAACAGGCTCCAGGCTCTGAGCTGGCAGTCAGCACAGAGCCCGACACGGAGCACGAACCCACGAACCGCGAGATCATGACCAAAGCGAAAGTCGGACGCTTAACCGACTAAGCCACCCAGGCGCCCCCGAAATTCACTCTTATGGAAACCTCATTCCATGAAAATGCTGTTAGCATAGACAAATTACTTATGCTTTTAAACCTGCTAACAACAAATAAGCAGCTGCCAAGACACTCCTCTAACCCTCAGTTAACTAGTGGTAACCCATGGCAAATATACGTAGTAATATATTACACCAAATTCACTGAAAACCTTCCAATGGAATGGTAGCCTCATTTTGCCTTTTATCAGTGGTATTTCACATTTTAAAAAGTGTCTTTTTTGTCTTCTCCATTTTCCATTGGCACATGTTTATGAGTAAGAAAATGGTCAGTAGGCAGATCACAAAAGATAGAGTTCAGTATTCAAATAAACATAATCATATAAAAATAGTAAGACAAAGTGGCATTGATCTGGCAATTCTAAAAGAATTCAGGAGGAATGTTGACCATAACAATCAAAGTAATTGTTAGTGTAAATGATCAAGAGAAAGTTTTGCAGCAAAAGAAACAGAAAGGTTTCTTACCTTGACAGTAGCAAAGCTGGTAGAATTTATAATAAAAATTAAACACACACACACACACACACACGATTTTATAATAAAAGTAAAAGCGCCAAAGGTAAAAAAAAAACAAAACAAACAAACCTACTGCATTCACAGAAAAATCTGTACACAAATGTTTACAGCAGCATTAACAGCTAAAAAGTAGAAATAATCTGAATGCCATCAACTGATAAATAAGCGAGAGGTGGTATATCAATACGATGTTAATATAATTCATCAATAAAAAAGGATGAAGTATTGATACATGCTACAACATGGATGAACCTTGATAACATTATTCTAAATTTAAAAAGCTAACCATAAAATACTACATATATCATTTCATTATAGGAAATGTCCAAAAGGCAAATCTATGCAGACAGAAAGTCCATCGGTGGTTGCCTAGGGCTAGGGTCTGGGAGGATAGAGGGATTGAGAGCTAAAGGGAATGGGATTTCTTTTTGAGGTGATTAAAGTACTCTAAACTGTACTGTGGTGATGGTTACACATACCCAGAAATATGATTTAAAAAAACACTTTAAATGGGTGAATTGCATACTATGTGAATTTTATCTCAATAAGGCTGTTTAAAAAATCAATCTCTTGGAAATTGGGTAAAAATTTACTTATTAGGGAAAAATCATAATTAATATTTTAGAATATTTTGCAGGAGCAAATAGGCATATGTAAATAAAGGATAAATGATTTACTTTCTGAAAACAAACCTGCATGGGTGAAGAAGAGTATCATTTGTCTTAGAAAGGAAATGATTTTGAAACATAAAACAAGTATAATGGTAAAAGTATAAAAAGCAGTAATCTTCTAGGATGCCCTATTATTTTTTCAGCAATCTGAAGGAGAGAACAATAAGGTCTCTTTGTTTTTATATTACTAAATTTTTTCAAGAAAGGGAAAGACAAACCACAGGAGATAGACTATAGAAACATACTTCCAGTTGATTTAAGTGAGCAGAGCAGCTACAGCTGAATTTTAACACAGGAACATACCAAGTAATTCATTTAGGGACATGGATGGACAGATGGACAGATAGACCAAAGGAAGGATGGAAGGAAGGAAGGAAGGAAGGAAGGAAGGAAGGAAGGAAGGAAGGGAGGGAGGGAGGGAGGGAGGGAGGGAGGAAGAAGGAAGGAAATAGAGACAGATAGTGCCTTGAGCTATTGGTGACAATTTACAACTCAGAAAATAATTTGGAGTCATTAAAGATTCTAATGTCATACTGAATTGGAAAAAATGATAGGTCGAATTTAATGACAGCATTTTAAGAAATCAAGCTTTGTTTTCAGAAATTCCATGACTTCCTTCTCTGTTCTAAAGGGAAAAAAAGTAAAATAAGAAAGAATGAAGGAAGGCAAGGAAGGAAGAAATGAGGAAGGGGGGAAGAAAGAAAGAAAACTTACACATTGATCATCCGATGGTTGGATGTGTGACACCTCACCTTTGGGGAGGGTATTTGTTACTGTGTAAGTCATGGCAAATCATTAAAAAGAATATATTAAGGTAGAAAATTTCTCATTATTGTAGATACGGGCTTGAATTCATTGATAAATTACTTAAGAGTTCTCCTTTAGCTGAAATTTACATCATAAGCTCCATCTTTATTGTTGCTTCTTTATACTCACATTAGTTTAATGTGGTATATTAATTCAAAGAAGAAATAAATCAATTGATGAAATTTACCTCCTGTTTGTGACCTGTTGTAGAACGTAATACTTGACACATTATCTTCAGTCCATTTAACTGGAATATTCCATGTGTAACTAAAGTTTTTGAAAAAGGAAAATTTAACTTTTATTACTAAAAAAGAAAAACATTTCCAAAATAAAAATTAAAAAGCAATAGACAAGCATATTTTCCTCAATAACGAACATCCAGTGTACAGGATACAATTAATATGACACTCCTTAGTGATGAAGATAGGCCATATAACTGCTTTCAATTTCTATCAATCCCTAAAATTTGGAACTTTGTATCAACAAATTAGCTAAGCATGATGATTATTTCAATAAAATGTGTTGAGACTTTGGAATAAGTATATTGCATAAATATAACACATTATATAATAACATTGACCATTCACACGCACAGAGACTTACACATACTCTAATGTGCTTTGTTTCTGCCAAGGAACACAAAGCAATTTTCAAATTCAGAAGACAATCTTAAAATGCCACAAAGGGAATAACACATTTTAGAAATTAGGTTGAAATTCAAATTATACCACCACCACCATCCCTTAAAGAGTCTCATGCTCTTCAAGTATCTCCTATCTTATATCATATGAATCAGGTGTGCTGCAAAGGAGACATACTCAGACAAACATGTTTCAGGGTTTTTTAGTGGTCTCTTTAGTTAGTATTTTCTTGTGGAACAGGGTGAAAGGGTTATCTTTGTACTTTGGTACAATATATACTTAACATTTTATTACTGAAATCTCATAAAGAAGTCTTAAAGTTTTTTATTGTTCTCATATCATGTACTATCAATCAGAAAATACAACAGATCCAGAAAGAAGATGAATCAGTGTTTGGATATGATTACCAATTCAAAGTTCACCTTGTTTTTCTACATCTGTGATCATTCAAGTCCCTAACACAGAATGGGGAATGATACTTCTTTTAAATTTATAATAAAATTTATGTAAGTCAGGGAGAATACATTTTGCCATCTACATGAAAGAAGTAATCCTTTGTTTTATAACTGTTGAAATGTTTTATGAGATTGAGTTGTTACTAACTTTCTTTGAGGATTTTATTGCTGTGGAATGTTTTGGGCTAGAAGTCCCATAGAACCAATGCATAAATTGTTTCTTGGGCCATGTAGCAAAGATTGTCCCCTTGAATCTCTTTGTCATTTTTGTACACTCTAGATTCCAAAGCACTCTCCTAGCCAACAGCCAAGCACCTGGGTCTGTCTGTCAGAGAACTGCCCTCTAGCTGCCTGAGCAAGGAAAGCCAGAAGTTCTTTGAAATTTACATTTGTGGATGCAGCCCTTTGCCGATGATGGATGGCAGGAGAATCTTCTTTGCCCCCATTTGTCAGGACACCTCTAAAGTGGTGTCTCCACAACTTCCCCACAGGGTAGCTACCCACTATAGCGCCTGCTTGATAATGCACTTCTGCTGCTTGACATCCCACCTCCCACTCCCTTCCCAGTCTTTCCTATAAACACTTCCTGATGAGTAGCTTTCACTTGAATCATCACCTAACCATTTGCTTTTAGGGAAGTCAACTTGAAATCGATCCCTTGTAGCTTCTCAACAGATAGACAAAGAAGCATTTTGTGGAAGTCACATCCCACCTACATGTTTCACTCTTTCACTGCTCTTCTGTTTTGATGTTACCACATAAACGAACATTTCTTTCCCTCCCTTCTTTTCCCCAGTGCTAACCTGACTGAAGGAACAGAGTGTGCAAGTGTCTGGATGCCCTGTGTGCAAAGGCAAGTCTTCATATTTTGACTATCCTCTGTAAAACATTGCCTCTGAGATGACACTGTGCCCAAAAGTGGGCATAAAGTATACTACTAAGTAATGTAAAAATACCGCTCTGAAGTCTGTAAGAGAATCATAAGACTAAAAGGACTGAGGGTTGAGGCTTTATGATTTTATAGTTTTAGAATCACAGGATCTAATCTAATATGAGTACAATATTAGATTTGAGTACAAATGTCAAGAAATGAAAATTACATCAATGGAATGATGGAAGTCTCCTATAAGACATCTAAAATTTAGGAGGATCAGATTTCATTTTGAAAAGTATAATTTACTTTTTTGTATCTAACAAGATCTGATAGTATTAAATATGGCTGATCTAATTTTCACTAAAGACACTGACTTAGTTCCCAAATGACACACCTACACCCATCCATCCCCTGTTATACTGAGTGGACTGCCAGAGACATGTAAGTTTGCCTGATAGAGAATTCCTCTTGATAGAGCCATGAAATTAATCTGCTTCTAAGAGATGATTGAGGCCATAGTGTTAAAACAATAACCTACACATGTGTGGGCCATTTGGATTATAAAAATTTCTTGTAAGAATTCCCTAATCTTGAAATATTTAAGCAGTGAGAAAAGGGAGGGGGCCATTCAGTTTTTAGTACAACTTAATCAAACACATTTTTTACTGGACAGGAATATATCTGGACATAGAGTAAGGTGAACACTAGGGATGGAGAAAGAGCTAATTACTTTCTGAGGGGATGACGCTATGCATTATGAAATAGTTTTTTAACCAAGTGAAAAATCATGAAGGATTACTTTTGATAGAATGTTGTTTTCTCTATTTGTTCAGGAGCTACTATAGATTTTTAACAAATGTTCTCAACAACATAGCACATGTTTTCTGGGTTTATTTTCCTACGCATATATAACTTTTTTTTTTATAAAAATGGAGCAAGTAGATTGACTTTATAATAAGTGATCACTAAAAATCATGCATCTATGAATATAAATAAAAAACTATCTAAAGGTAGAGACTAAAAATATTAGAGAAAATTATAAATGTTAACCTAGTTCTATGTTCTAAATCTTGGTGAATTGCAATTTAAAGATTTATTATAACTCAAAAAATGAAGACTTGATAATATATTTCCTTGGTAATAAATTATTGTGCTTGTGGGAAGACAAATCCATAACTAAGGAGTTTAAAAAATGCATTCCCATTGTTTTAAAAACAGTGTTGGGTATGTCTTTGGCTTAACAAATCAGTGGATACATATGACAGAAGGGAACAATTACCATGAAGCTTTCCTAGTGGAAGTTTATTTCTCCAGAGAGAAATATTTTTTTAATTTTAATATCCAAAGGCTATTAAATAGCAGTATTAAATATGGCCCAGCTAATTTGATAGAACATAAAACAGTAACTATAAGATAAACAGTTTATAGCTAACCGAATGATCACAAGTTATTATGTTGATTTTTGTAATTGAATTATCACCTAAGTCAGATCTGGGTTTCAATTCATTCATATATTACGAAGAGGAAAGAATGGAAACAAAGCTTTCTAGCCTAATCTTTCCTTTCCAAAATACAGAAAAGATAAAGAAGTTTATACAGACACTCCCTGACTCATCTCATTTGGTCTAGGATCTCAAATTTCCTTTATTTTGGCATGAACTGTTAATTTTCAGCATTTGCATACAACAGGATACCCAATGACTCTGAATTTCATTTATTGTGGTAGAGCTGAATATCTGACATTTCCAGGAGCAGAGGCTGATAATGGACCTCAACAAGGTGAGCACCGCTGGCTTTCTTGATGGTCTTCCAGTTCAGGTGCCAGCCAATACCTTCAAGGTAGTTAGTTTAATAATACTGAGTGCTCTTCATTTTCTGATGCCTTGGACAGAAAGTCCAGTTTGAATTTTAGCACTTTGAATTTCTGGAAACACCCGAGTGTGTTATTTATTAGTGTGATTTAATTTTCAAATCCCTGAATTGGAAGCCAGAAAATAGGTTCTGGAACCCATCATACAGAGTACTGTCATAAGTGTGTCTCTCAAGATCTTTCAGTTCTCTAGAAATTGGGCTAGGCCACTGTAGAACAAGATGAGAACAATATTCTAACATGAGATTGTTGGGGCGCCTGGGAGGCTCAGTCGGTTAAGTGTCCGACTTCCGCTCAGGTCATGATCTCACAGTTAGTGGGTTCGAGCCCCATGTCGGGCTCTGTGCTGACAGCTAGCTCAGAGCCTGGAGCTTGCTTCTGATTCTGTATCTCCCTCTCTCTCTGACCCTCCCGTGCTCACGCTGTCTCTCAGAAATAAATTTAAAAAGCATAAAAAAATTTAAAAAATAAAAAATAAATAAAATGAGATTGTTATCTGTAGATTCACCCAATTCACTTCACTGCATACTGTTTATTCTTTAACAACAAACTGTAGCACAACGCAATCTCTGGAACGTCTACCACACCCCTCCAGCCCACGGCCACTCTGCTAGTGCAGACCCAGTCTTCTGTATCATCTCTCACATGAGTCAATTGCTACAATTATCAGAGTAACTGGTCTTCCTTCTTCCACTCTTGCACTGCTCTGATCCAGTCTCTATAATGCAGCCAGAGGGGAACTCTGAAAAAAATAGAGGTGATCCTACCAATTCTCTCTTTGAAGTCCTTAAAGTTGCACACTGTTGTTCAAAATCCTCAATGTGGTCTGCACGCCTGGCCCCTGCCTCTGTCCCCAGTGTCCCCAGTGCCTGTCTGCTGTTCAGTTTCTTGGAGCCAGACTGCTCATGTTCAAATCAGAGTTCCATCACTGGTACTCATTGTACCCTTGAATAAGTTATCTAATCATTTTCAGTTATTTGTCAATTTCCCTACCTGTTATCATAATAAAATATTCTAAAGTGCTTAAAGTAGTGGCAGGTACTGAGTGAATGCTTAGTGAGTGTTGTGTATTATATGTGTAATGCTACTCACCCCCCTCCCCAAGGCCTTCTTCATGTTATAGTTTCTCTTTTGAACATCGCCCATGGTCATCCCCTCATATCAATTTCCTTAGCTTAAATATCACTTCTTTTTTTAATGTTTTTATTTATTTTTGAGACAGAGATAGAGACAGCATAAGCAGGGGAGGGTCAGAGAGAGAGGGAGATACAGAATCAGAAGACAGTCTCCAGACTCTGAGCTAGCTGTCAGCACAGAGCCTGACATGGGGCTTGAACCCACAAACCGTGAGATCATGACCTGAGCTGAAGTCGGACGCTTAGCTGATTGAGCCACCCAGGCACCCTGTTAAATATCACTTCTTCAAGAAAGTCTTCTGTGCCCTTCCCTATTCAAGCATACCTCCTGACCCACCCATTAAGTCAGGCTCAGTGTACCCATGGATACACATAACAGGAGAGAGTAATTACTCCCCAGTGGAAGTTTGATTCACAAGAAAGAAATATTTTTAAGTTTTAATATCTAAATAGTCTCTAGCAGTATTAAATTTGGCCAATCTAATTTGCTAGAACATAAAACAGTAACTGTAAAAGAACCAGCTTATAGTTATCCTGGGACACCTTTGTCACACCCTATAATTCTTCTTCCTCATGTTATCTTAATTACTACAGAATAATGGCTCTTGTGATGATTTATATATAAGTAACTTTTAATATACAAAATCATTGAGACTAAAGAGGAGATAAAGAGGGCTAAGGGCCTTTTTGGTAGAAACCAGGCAGTGAAAATTAGAGAACAGCTGAAGGGACCATGGGTGCAAAAGTCTCTCTACCCAAACCAAGTGGGACGGTAAAAACTGGCATGGGTGATGAGCCTGTTGTGGTCATCGTTTCACAATATACATAAATCAAACCATCATATTGTACATGTTAAAAGTATACATGATGTATGTCAATTGTTTGTCAATGATACTGAGGGAGAAAAAAAACTGGCCAAGGTCAAATTGGAATGATGTCCAGGGAACTAGTGCTACGCCATGTTGTTCCCATTTAGTCAGGGTGCTGTCTAGGAGCAGGCTCTTCTGGATAATGGGGGGCTAAGGTGATATCCCCAAAGTGGTAGACCCAGGCTTTGTGGCCAGCCCCATGCCAGAGTTCCTGAGATCTTGATTTCATTCTCTCCCATTGGGAGCAATTGGCATCCCAGAAGTGTAGACAAAAACAACTAAGTATGCAGAAATGGACATAATACTCAGACTTTTTGTATAAGCTATATTCATACAAGTGTGACAAATGTGAAATCATTGGCTGTTTGCACATTTTGTCAGCTTCTACAATATTTGAATACATATCATTCCAATTTCACCCTTGCCAATATTTTTTAAAAATATTTTTATTTATTTCTAGGAGAGAGAGAGAGAGAGAGACAGCATGAGCAGGGGAGGGTCAGAGAGAGAGGGAGATACAGACTCCGAAAGAGGCTCCAGGCTCTGACCTGGCAGCCAGCACAGAGCCCGATGCGGGGCTCGAACCCACGAACCGTGAGACCATGACCCAAGCGAAAGTCAGACGCTTAACCAACTAAGCCACCCAGGCGCCCCCACCCTTGCCAATTTTTAAAAGTCTGGCAAATAAAAGAGAAATGACATATTGTATTGATAATTTTAACTGGAATTCTTAGGATACTTTAACTCAGGAGTCATGTTTAAATGTCTTGAAAACTCTGAGTTTGTAAAGTTAAAGGTTTGATGCTTAATATGTTGAAGATGCCCAAGAAATTTGGTATACTGTATGAATTTTAATTACATTAATAAAAAACATAGAGGAAGGTTTTTTTAAATTTGATTTATAAATCTGTGTCTTTAGGTGTTTGTATTTTGAAATTACAAATAGGATTTAATGAAATTTTAAGTAGTGATATTCAGAAGTTACTTATAAATGATATACGCGAGAGAATTTGATTGGTTGAGTTTATAATTGCTGTTTAAATATTCAGGAGAATTTCATTTGTGCAGTTTGTAAATAAAAACATTCTTGTCAAAAACTAGAAGAACTGCTGTTGAAAAGCCAGTCTCCTTTTCCACCCTCCCCACAGCCCAGCCCCTCTTGGAAGCATCCCCTTTTAAAAACTGAAGCTCAGGTCTTGTTCTGGAGCCTTCTTCAGAGTCTGTCTCGCTCTCTCTCTGTCCCTCCCCTACTTGTGCTCTATCTCTCTAACATCTAGGGGCGCCTGAGTGGCTTCATCTGCTAAACATCGACTTCGGCTCAGGTCATGATCTCACGGTTCATGGGTTTGAGCCGCGCGTTGGGCTCTGTGCTGACAGCTAGTTCAGAGCCTGGAGCCTGCTTCCGATTCTGTGTCTCCCTCTCTCTCTGACCCTCCCCTGCTGTCTCTCAATGTCTCTCTCAAAAATAAATAAAACGTTTAAAAAAAGAGAGACATCTATTAGTTGGATGCTGGACATTTCATATTTGTCTTCTCTTTCATATTTGTCAGCTCTCTATGTTTGCCCTATAACTTTGGAGAATTCCCCAAACTTATTGCTACTTGGTCTATTAATTCTTTGACAACCAAAAATTTAATCTTTCAGAGCAATTCTATATTCTAAGTTTGTTTTTTCAAAGATACTCTGCTCTGAGTTAATAAGTGTTAATAGCTTCTTTGATCTCTGAATGTATTTTATAAATTTATTTTCTTTTTCCTCAATTATGTTCTTATTAGAGACAGGTTTTTTGTTTGTTCAAACTTTTATCCTTTTAGATTTTTTTATGTGCCTTGTGATCTTAATTGCCCATTTATATTTCAGAAAGAAGGACTAATTTAATTATTCTTGGTATCTTGTATGTAATCCCTCTGCTGTTGAGAGGGAGGTATATTTTTTGAAACAGCCTTTTCCTCTGAACAGAAGTCTGCCCGGGGGCTCTGAGCATGTATGAGGGGATCTGGCAGCTCCAGCCCATCCCCCTACAAATGCCATACAGAGGAAAGCTATACTCCTGGCATCCTAACCAAATTGAAACCCTTAGCTCACCTCCACTGTTTTAGTCATTTTGGGGGGGGGGGGGGGGGGGGGGGGGGAAGAGCCTTTGGATTTTTACCTTGGGTCATTGCCAGACTTCTGGCAGACTTCCAAGAGCTCTGAACAGAGGAAAGGATGTCAGTAGGTGAAGGGAAAGTGAAATGGGGGTGTTTCTGACTGGCACAATTGTCCTGAGTCTAGACTTCAAATTATTTGTCCTATTTTCATCCTCACCGCTCCTTCCTGCGCTCCACTCTTCATGCTGACAGTCAGCCCTGAGCCTGTCTAGGAAGATGGAAGATATTACTACCTCTAGAGCAAGTTTTTATCTGGCTTCATCCTCCTCAGTTTGTTTGTTTTCTATAGATATTTCTCCTTCTGGCTTTTCTTCTAGAATCTATCTGCCCCTCCTCTTTCTTTCTTTTATGAGGTTATTTCTTGTAACACTTCTATTTCTTTATTCAGTGGTTTCTGGGAAGAACAGGACTTGGATGCATGTGCTCAGTCCACCATCTTGAACCTGGAGACCATGGACCTATGTCTGGATGCTTATGTTTCCCTAAAGACATTGTGCTTTTAAATTATCACCAACCAATCATGTACTGGAGAGTAAGAACTAAGCAAATGGCCAGTATTTCCATCAAATTTCTGCTTTTCTTTTCAAATGCATTTTAGATCCTTACCCAAGAGCTGAATGTGGCTCAGAAGAATTCGCTCTTGAGTCCAATAGAAAGCGCTTCTGTGTGATGTTCCTCATATCTTTCACATTAAGTACAGGATAACCCATCTGTTTGGTCCATGTATCCATTACTTCTTTCACTGGTAAATTACTTGCCTGATATTAAAAAAAAAAAAAGAGGAACAATTAACAAATTAGGGGAAATGAAAGGATAGAATAATCAGATAAAGAAATGATTGATAAATCATATGTTAATCAAAGAAATAGTTGGGGATATACTTCTTACCTGTTCAAGTGCTCCCCAAAAATCATCAGTTTTTGCATTCCTATATTGGTAGTTTTCCAAGTAAATCTGTATGTGAAAGATAACAAGCATTTTAGAAATCAATGTATGCTTTTCTCATACTTCCACCACATGAGCTGAATCTGTCAACATTTTTCACTCTAATGTATAATATGGCAAGTGTACCTTCAGTAAAAGTCAAATGACACACTGCATGTAAAACATTTTGTAACCTATAAAAACGTCAAATAATTTATTTATAAAGCACAAGGAATATTTTTCCTTATCAATGATGTAGCTTATTTTTTTTATTTTAATTTTTTTATTTTTTATTTTAGAGAGAGAGTGCATGCAAGCAGGGGAGAGGGGCCGAAGGGAAGAGAGAGAGAGAGAGAAAGAGAGAATCTTAAATAGGCTCAACCCTGAGTGTGGAGCCCGATGCAGGGCTTGATCCCATGACCATGGGATCATGACCTGAGCCGAAATCAAAAGCCAGATGCTCAACTGACTCAGCCACCCAGGTGCCCCTAGCTTGTCCTTTTTTTAATAGTCTAATGGGCTTGTGCACAGGAGAGGAAACACTTAATTTTTTTCAGGACAAGAAATATAAGATACTTAAGGGCAGTCAAGTGTTCAGCAAACAGTCAACAGTCCATAACATTTGTGATCCAGTGTGAAGAGAGATTCATAATTCTATGATCTTAGAGCTGTTAACCTGTCGCTATTGGCTACATCCCCTACCTTCACTTATAGTGGTGTTTTCTCATCTCAGACACTAGATGAGCCCATCACACATGAGTGATTGAGGCTATATGCAAAGATAAAACAGGTAAGCCTGTCTCTAAGCCAAGGCTCAGCAAACTTTTTTTTGGTAAAAAGCTATATAGTAAAGATTTTAAGTTTTATGGGTTCTATAGCGTCTGTCACACCTACTCAACTCTGCCTCTGTAGCACAAAAGCATCCATAGATAACATGTAAATGAAAAACCAAGAAAACATTATTTATGCGCTCTGATATTTGAATTTCATGTAACTTCCACACGTCATGAAATATTGTCCTTCTTGTGATTTTTCAACAATTCAAAGCTGTAGAAATGATTTTGTTTGCAGACCTTAGAAAAGTGAGTGGTGGGCCAGATTTGGCCTGCAAGTAGCTGTTGGTAGACCCCTGCTTCAAAGTTTTAAATTGCACCACTGTGCAATTTAAATCTTTTTTAATGCTTATTTATTATTGAGAGACAGAGCATGAGCAGGGAGGGGCAGAGAGGTGGAGACACAGAGTCCAAAGCAGGCTCCAGGCCCTGAGCTGTCAGCACAGAGCCCGATGCAGGGCTCAAACTCGTCAACTGCAAGATCATGACCTGAGTCAAAGTCAGGTCCTTAACTGACTGAGCCACCCACGCGCCCAAACAGACCCCTGCTTTAAAGAAATGGATATACAACCTTTCGAATAGTAAGAATGATAATGATGATCCTGATCCTGGATAAATTGGGGAAATTATTCACGAGAGTAAAGAATGTCTTTACTCTTCAAATAGTTTTAAAATAGGAGTTTTTTAACTAGAAAGCTCTCCCCGTTAGCAATTCTGTTCACAAAGTCTCTCTCTATATGACTTTTTAGGTCCAATGTGGTAGGTCACTAAAGGAAATCCTAGTTTTCTCCTAGTCTCATAATTGGAAGCCACTCATGCATCTCCAGGAAACCCTCCAACGTTCCTGCTGTATCACACCTCTGTTGCTGTCAGGAATTGTCCCAATTAAAATATGGACATCTTTGGGGCACCTGGGTGGCTCAGTCAGTTGAGCATCTGACTCTTGTTTTCAGCTCAGGTCATGATCTCAGGGCTGTGCAATAGAGACCTGCATTGGACTCTGCGCTGGGTGCAGAGCCTGCTTGGGATTCTCTCTCTCTCCTTCTCGCTCTCCCCTCTCCTGCTCAGGCTCACTCTCTTTCAAAAAATAATAAAAAAATAAAATAAAATAAAATAAAATAAAATAAAATAAAATAAAATAAAATAAAATAATAAAATAAAATAAAAATGCTGTCACTTTCTTAAGTGTTCCTTGAGCCTTCAAAGAATAACAAGTGGTTAACGTTGCACATGACATTTTCACTCTAAGTGACTATAATTTTCAGGAAGTTACTGTGCCTAAGTCACATTAGTTTCTAAATTCCTTTCATTTGAGGTGTAAAGAGATGAAACAATATTAGATGCCCTGCTCCAAGAAGCCTGGACTAGGGTTGAGACCAGTTTGGAATGCCGCCTTTGTTTTTGTTCCTCTGATTAGTTCACTTCTCAGCACCGCCACTGGAGGGCAGGCAAAGGAAGGGAGAAGAAATGAAAGCCACTCAATCGGTATCAGTTTTAAGCATTTGTTCCAGAGCTTTGCACAAATCATTCATTCTAAATAAAATAACTGGATACTTGAAATAGTAATTAATTGCAACCGTAGCTACCTCTTAATGACAATTTCTAGTGAGTAATAGCTTTTTAAAATTAATTTAGAGGGGCGCCTGGGAGGGTCAGTCGGTTAAGCGTGCGACTGGCTCAGGTCATGATCCCACAGTTTGTGGGTTTGAGCCCCGTGTCGGGCTCTGTGCTGACAACTACCTCAGAGCCTGGAGCCTGTTTCAGATTCTGCGTCTCCCTCTCTCTCTGACCCTCCCCTGCTCACACTGTCTCTCTTTCTCAGGAATTAAAAAACAACAACAACCATTTAAAATTAATTTAGAGGAGTTTATTTGTATACTCACAATACCTTGAGCTTAGAACTGTGCAATCTTAGCACTAGAAGGGACATTAAGTATTATTAGTACAACTCAAATTTTGTTGGGGGTGAAGGAAACTGGTGCCTAGAGAGGTGATGAGATTTTCCTGAGGTCCTGAGGTAACCTTGAAAGAATTCTAAATCCTGAACCAGTTTGTGAGCTTTCTGTCAGTGATGTTATTATTGTTACTGCTTTTTAAACCACAGTCTCTTGCTTCTACTGAACTATAGGCTACATGGACATTTATATAAACAGTATATGAAAAGACATCAATTTTGAGTGCCTGGGTGGCTCAGTCAGTTAAGTGTCTGACTCTTGATTTCGGCTCAGGTCAGGGTCTCATCCTCATGAGATCAAGCCCGGGAGCTGCCATGAAGCTCCCTGCTGAGTGTGGAGCTTGCTTAAGATGTGATCTCTCCTTCTCCTTCTGCCCCTCCCCTATTTGTGCTCTCTCTCTTAAAAAACAAAAAAAGACATCAATTCTATTTTGTCTAGATTAGTACATTTCCGAATACTCTATATGAGGAAATTCTTCACCTTGAATATTCACGATGCAGTCATTCCATTCAAAATTTCATGGTGACCTACATCCCCCGATCCTAGTGCTCCCATTGGCTGGGTTTGGGGTGGTAAGCACAAAAGGAAAAGAACACTGGTTCTGTTACTAGTATCCTAGGAAGGGAAAGGACATGTTGCACCTGAGCCACTGCTGTTCCATCAGGGATACCTCTTATACCCGGAGGAAAAGAAAGCATGGATATATTTCTCAGCTTGATTTCATGACCATATGCTGTTTCAAATGCCCCATTATCTATTATCATTTCTTTTTAAATTTTTAAAAAATATTTATTTTTAAGAGACAGAGAGACAGAATGTGAGTGGGGAAGGGGCAGAGAGAGAGAGAGGGAGGGAGATACAGAATCCGAAGCAGGCTCTAAGGCTCTGAACTGTCAGCACAGAGCTCACCTTGGGACTCAAACTCACAAACCACGAGATAATGACCTGAGCCGAAGTCGGCCACTGAGCTACCCAGGCGCCCCATCTATTATAATTTCTTATGCACAAGCACAGCCTTAAAGATTTTCCAGGTGATGGTTTTGATCTTATTCCCTCTCACTACTACCTATCTTGATGTCGGAGGTGGGGTTTGGGGGAAGGTGATGAGCTTGAAAGAGAACAGAAAGCTGGCCATCCCCAGATTTAGTGCCATGCCAGGTTAGCTAATGAAGAGTCACTTTGGGCAGAAAGTTAGTATTTGCCAGGAAAACATCTTGAACAATATCACGGCTTCAGGAATTTAGGGGGTGCAATCACAGAGGGATGCTAATTCAAGTAAAGATACTATTCAGATACTTGAATGAAGTGGAAGAATGTTCCAATTGGTTTGTGAGCTTAACTGAGTGTGGTCTACACTGACCATATACTGTTTTCAGATATTAGCTAGTGTTTGAAGATTGTAGGAAAAAAGTGAGGGTTTAGTGGTTAGTGGGGTGTGTGTCTGTGTGTGTGTGTGTGTGTGTGTGTGTGTTAATTTATTCCACAGCACTATGATGGCATGAAAAAATTAATATCTAATCATTCTGGTTTAGTTTCTAGCTGCATCTGTAGTCACAGGATGGAGGAAGACAGATTTCACTTGAGAAATATTAGTTTTAGACAGGACTGGATTTTTAATTAATTACACCATAGATACCAGGCTAAAGAAAATATGAGAGTATTACTGAATTATTAGAATAGCTATTCACTTTTAAAGACTCCCGGAACATCTCTAGGAGTTACTATAAAAATCATTTAATTTGAAGTCAGCTTTGAAGATTCCAAGAATGTTATCCACCGGTTTAATTTAGAATGAAACTATGCAATTGGAATTTTAACTTAATGTTTCAAAATGAATTGTCTTTGTTTTTCTCTAGGTCATTTATTGTAGACCGTTCATTCACTTAAGAAGCATTGTTTGGATTGCCCATCATGTGTGATGCCATCTACTAGAGACTGGAATATATGCAAAGATATAGGAGACAGAGTTCCCCACTAAAGGTGATCCCAGTAGGAGAAGATATGATGAAATGTGAGTCTGAAGCTGATGGAAAAGTTACAAAGTGTTCTAATGTACACATAAGAACAAGCACATGGCTTTTCCCTTTCTTCCAGTGTCCACACAGAATATATATATATTTTTTTACAAATAGTTTATTGTCAAATTAGTTTCCAACCACACAGAATATTTTATTAATGGACAAAAGAAGTAAAATCTATTGATGTGCTCGCTGAATATTTCCTAAGTCTTGGACTTATTTCTTACATAACTAGTCACCTAGGAATTTTACCATTGGGTAGAAATGGACTGTTTCTTTTTGGGGTAGCCTAGAGAGTGCTAGATGCCACATAACAAGGCTTGGTAGTGGTAAGAGCTGAAGGAATGGTGAACGGACACTGTCCTGGGTAATCACATCCAAAAGGAGTGTGGATCCTCTTTGGGAAAGCTGACAGAGTGCTGTTCTGACCTCTTTTCTACGCTCTGGACAGGCATCCAGCACCACAACTCTGCCTAACTACCTGGGGCACCACAGAAGGGAGGGCAGAGAATAAAGGGAAGAAGCTGGAAAACAATTCCATCTCCGGGCCACAGCAGGGCCAACCCGCAGACAGGGCACTTACAGGGACACAGTGAAGCAACACTGATAACATAAAACCCTGAGAGATTTGGCTTTGGTTTTGCTAGCAAAACACAAAAGATGTGTGAAACACTTTTGAAAATTTATTATCATTTCTGTTTCCAAAAGGAAGCAGGCCCTCTTTATTCCTTGACTCCCCCACATTCCTTGAATGTGTATATTTGCCATTTTTAAGTCCAATAATAAGGGAAAAGTCCTTGTATGAACTATAAGGGAAGACTTTTATAGATACATTTAAATCTTTATGTCATGTGGCTATGGCCTGAATCACATTCCCCAAAATTCATACAGTGAAGCTCTCATCTCTAATGCGATTGTGTTTGCAGATGAGGCCTTTGGAAAGCATTTAGGTTCAGATGAAGTCATGAGGGTGGGACCCTCACTATGGGATCAATGTCCTTATGATAAGAGGCACCAGAGAGCTCTCTCCCTCTGCCATGTGAAGACACAGAGAAAGGCAGCCGTCTGCAAACCAGGCTGACAGCCCTCTCTAAAACAGGAGTCTGCAGTGCCTTGGCCAGAGACTTCTTGGCCAAGGTGAGAAATGGTGAGAAAATAAATTTCCGTTGTTTAAACCACCCAGTTGATATATTTATTATGGCAGCCTGAGCTAATACACATGTAAAGGATATCAAAAATAACCAAGGACTCCAAGTAACTTCTCCATGAAATTTCTGCTAAATGGTAATTAGAGACACAGTGTAGCCACTTAACTGGATGTGAAGTCACCTTTTTATGTTTTGCTATTTAATCTATCCCTGAGTAAGGAGAGGAAAAAGTAAAACAGGGATCGTCCTTGATTAATCACATACTGACATTCATCAGCCACGGAGCAATGTAGCTTACGCTTAATACTATTAAAAGCGATAAATCGTACCTGACAGCCTTTTTGAAACTTCTCTGGTGTTATCCAGTCTTCAAGCATTCTCAGAATGGAAACGCCCTGCGGTGGAAAAGAATGACAAATCAAACTAGGAAAGGATACCAATGATCGCTATTGTGACTAGTACTTTCTGATCATATGTGTGAGATTATTTCTTCAGTATGATTCCACTAAATTACTTGGATATAGCTCTATCATTTTAAGATAAAAATGGCATTTGGCACACCCCCTGTGTCTAGGCTTCTAAAATAACTAAAAGGTAAAGAGAAATGGATAAAGTGGCCATCATTTCAGAGACTTGGGGTTTAAATAATTATTGCACTTTGCCAAATGAACCAGCAGATGGAGCTTTTCTAATGAAAGAGAATGGTTTGAAAGACTTAGAAAACCCTTATTTTTCAGTGAATAAGGAAAGTAATTCCATGATAAAATTCTGGCTACTTCTTAAATATATTTCAGTACTTTAAAAGTACAACATTTAGTGGAAATAGATAGTTGAGGAAATATCTGATCAAACAGTTTGATATAAATACATCATTTAGACATAAAATCCTCTTCAAAAGTAGTTTATCTCATTTGGTTTTATTTTGTCTGAAGAATCTAATGAATACCTCTGCTCTCTACTTTCTTTGCATATGTTATAAGATTAATACTAAAATGCACTACTTATAAATTTTTAAATCAATTTTCAAGTAACTTGCTGGAAAATCATGGGCCACTCCCCATCCAAATTAGTAATTTTTACTGCAATTTAATAAGTATAAATTATCTTTGCACCTAGAAGACTAAAGGCTTAGAACATTTATTTATTTCTGACCTACTATCTTAAACCCATGGAATATCTAGGACTCAGAAAGAAACTGATAAAATATAAACTGTATATAACTGTAATAAAATATAAACATCTCCATGTGAGCTATTAGAATGTACTGTTAGTGGACTAGAAATGTTTATTTTAACAGAAATTTTTAAAAGAATCATTGGTGATGTGAAAGAAAAATGAGAAGAGAAGCCTAAAAAGATGCCGTGGGAATGATAGGGAAAGCCAAAAATATGATGCTATAAATTTGAAATGGTAATCTATAAAGGCTTTTCTCACTTAAGCCATTTTAACTAGTAGTCATTTTAGTAATTATAATATTTTGTCTTAAACCAATACTAGGTATTGTTCAGAATAGCAACATGTATTCATTTCCAGTGGGTTTTGAGCAACTGAGCATAGTGGGTAAACCATGAGCAGCAAAGGGGAAATAACTAAATTATGCTGCATGCAGGCATGAGTATGTTTGGAGGCAGAACTGTAGGAAGGAGACGCTGTGGGAGAAAATGGGTCACGGCAGATCTTCAGTAACTTTGCAAAAAAAAATTTCATGGATAAAAATGCCCCATCTAGGCGCCTGGGTGGCTTAGTCGGTTGAGCGTCCAACTTTCGTTTGGGTCATGATCTTGCGGTTCGTGGGTTTGAGCCCGTGTCGGGCTCTGTGCTGACTGCCAGCTCAGAGCCTGGAGCCTATTTCGGAGTCTGTGTCTCCCTCTCTCTCTGACCCTCCCCTGCTCACGCTGTCTATCTCTCTCTCCTAGAAATAAATAAAAATATTTTTTAAAAATGCCCCATCTACAACATGCTAATAAAGTCATCTTTATATCTTATATAAAAATGGATAAAAGGAATTCCTTCCAACTGAGTTGGGTTTCAGTTCTTATTGGAAACACTAAAGGATTCTATAGAAAAGATGTCCCCCCCCCCAAAAAAGAAAGAAAGAAAAGAAAGAAAAAAAAATGTCCCCATGTATGGCATTTCCCAAAGACCACATGGCAGAAAAAGATTTACTGTCTTTTAAAAGAGCAAATAAAACAATTTTAAATGTGATGCTTAAAGTGTACATGTTCAGTTAGAATGAGAGAGGTTATAAACAAAAGTGAAGGGAGAAGTCTTTAAAAACCTGTTTCAAAATCTTGTGACAATTACCAGCATTAATCGGTTTGACTGAAGAGCACAAACTACTGAATATTCAGCATCCAAAACAAGTTCCACGCTGTTTCCTGAAGCCTGTGAGCATAGTCTAATCATTCTTACCATTTTTAGGCATTTACTCAAAGTCACTACACAGGAAGAGGCTCACACTCATGTTCTGTTTTCCCCACCTTGCTATAGGATATTCCATCAAAGACAGATGTTATTTCAGCAGGAGTTGTCACCGTGACAACAATTGGGTGCGAGGACATCAAAGAATCATCCTCTTGTACAGGTAACACATCTTCAAGTAACATCTGATCTCTCTGAAATGACACAATGAACCAGAGAAATACAGCACTTCCTTTATACTGGTCCATATTTCAAAATATCATTTATATAAAACTGAGGGAAAATAAATGTAAATCGATCAAATTACTCAAGACCAGCATTAGGTGTCCCAATGAATCATGTGTTGCACTGATTAATTTGCATGGATTCCATTCCCTTCTTCTATTATAATTCCTTTGACTTTACCCCTATAATTCCTTGACTTTACAAGTCAAGAAGACATAAGCATCTGTGAATTCTGTTTCTGCCACTTCTGTGTGCCTTTCGGACACGTGCCAAACTTTCCAAGCCCTATTTCCATACCTGTGCAATGGACACCTCACAGATTTGTCCTCAGAATTAAGTGAGGATACATGTTGATCTGCCAAAAATTGATGTTTGGGATTTTTTTTCCCCGTCAACGAAACATTAGAATTTGGATGATTCATAATTAATCAAAGAAAATATTAGTTTTTGCCACAGTTCATCATCTCATTCTAACCCTATGTTTTCTCAGCAAAATACAGGATTGAGAGGTCTAGCTGTCTACTTCCATGGCTCATAACTCAATGTTTCCATTTTCTAGATCTGTAGGTTTAAGCAAGTTCCCACACCCATCAAATAGGGATAATGGGAATTGTTAGAGAATTCAAAGACATAATGCATGGTAAGCATTTGGCATAGTCCCTGCTGGAGTGAAACCCAACACCATAGCTGCTATTACTATTTTGATTCATCATCAATTAGATTCTGAAATCTCATTCTGTTAAATCATTACTAAAAAAATCAAAAGCTTTATTGGTCTTACTTTATTAAAACTATTCTTCGCAGAGGAGCATACCATATTTAGGTTTTCCAATTTTGTGATTTCTATTTATAATAGGCAAGGTACTATTGTGAAGTGATGACTGCCAATCAAGGTAGTTTTGACCTGGATTTAAAACTTTGTACACCTTTTAGGTGCAGAAAGAATTCAGGTCTCAGTGTCAGGAAATTTGACTCTAGTCTTGGTTGTGCTACCAATTGTCTATGTGAGATTAGAAAGTTATATTACCTTCCTGAGCATCAGAGTTTTCACCTGTGAAGTGAAGCTCCACCACTGTGGTACTTACCAGGCTCTCTTACAATCTGTCTTTTTATTTATCTGTCCCCTCTACCCACCATACCATTAACTGGGAATTTCTTGAGGGCAAGAACTATGTTTTATTCAGTTTTGGATTCTCTGTAGTGCCACTGCACACAGAAGACTGAACGAATGGATAAAGAATGAATGAATGGGGGCTCTTGGGTGGCTCAGTTGGTTAAGCGTCTGATTCTTGGTTTCGACTCAGGTCATGATCTCACAGTTCATGATCAGTGCGGAGCCCACTTGGGATTCACTCTCTCTCCCTTCCCCTGCTCATGCTCTCTCACTCTCTCTCTCTCAAAATAAATAAACTTTAAAAAATTCATAAATGAATGATGATATATGTATGAGTTGGACCATCTGATTAAATTTCACTGAAGAACTGCATACTAAATTCTTCTGAAATTAATTAGTATTTTGAAATACCGAATTGGAATATTAAAATGTTATATATATGTGTGTGTATACATATATATATATAGTACAACAATTTAAAATGTTCTAATTTCCTGCAATACCCTGATATAAATCTGACATCAGGTTACTTTATAGAAAATGAAGGACAACATATTTTTTCGTTTCTAGAGTTTAGTTTCAAAAATTACAAAATCAACAGTTTTCAACATATATGAGTGATTCTCAACTAGTGGAAATGTTGTCCCTCAGGGAACATCTGGAAATGTGTGGGCACATTTTTGCTTTTACAACTGGGGAGGGAGGGATACTTAAATCTCGTATATATGGGCCAGCGATGCTCTTAAATATTCTACACAGTACACAGGACAGCCTCCACCATTGTCAACCACTCCTGAGTTATCTGGCCCAAATGTCAGTAGTTCCATGGTTGAAAAACCCTGACGTAGACTAAAGTTCTAAAGCAGGAATGATTGCAAGTTAACTTTTTCACTCTTCAAGATAGGTTGTGGAACAGGCCAAAGGCTTCAGGTATTTAAGGCTGTATTTTTATTTTTTTCCAGTAGAGGGCAGTGGTCTCTATCGTACACAATGTCCTATAATTCACTACTTTTACGCGTCTACACACTTATGCTTTCATATATACTAACATATAAGCATACCAACACCATCTAAATAGAGATAAAGACAGGCTTAGCCTTTCAGAAAAAAAATACCTTTTGGGTTCACAGACGCCTTTGTTCGAGGCCCCTAGAGACATGAGGTAGGATAATGGTAGTTCCGTGTATTTTTAGGAGCTTTTAAGCTTACAAGAGAGAGAACAATGTTCTTCTTTCATAAAGGAGAGAACCAACTCAGTATATGTCACTTGCTCAAGGTCACATTCCCTGTAACACTAAGTTTATGCTCTTATCTCTTTACCACACTATTTCAGCAACCTCTGTAAGGTAAGTTGTTTGCAAAATTAAACTTAGAGATTTTTCAAAGGACTAGCACTACAGACACTTAAATATTAAATTAAATATGCATTGCCTAAGGTCACTATTTTTTTCCTGCTTTGAAACATGTTATTAAGGGACTCTTTCAAGGATATCCTCAGACTGGGCTACTCAATTGCTCTCTGAGACCTGGGCACTTGCCCTAAGGGAGATAGAATTCAGTGGAGCTGACCGGTTTTACTCATACACACAACTTGGCTTGGCTCACCAGTTCACCATCACACCAGGCCCCTGACTCGGGGACATTGTCATTGTGTAAAGGTTTCAGTCACTTTGCATGAGGAAAGTCGGCATTTGTAGCTTATGTGTTTAGGGCTCACCATTTGCCAATCTTTTTCTGCTTGGTTTACTCCCAGGAACTCAAAGAAGGAAGCAAAGCCTTCATTCAGCCACAAGTCTTCCCACCATTCCATGGTCACAATATTTCCAAACCACTGGAATTATAAGCAATAAAGAGATAGTTAAATTTGTGTGCTTGAGGTAGAAAGGCCTAGAAAATTTCAGTACATTTATTTCTTCATGAAAATGTCACTTGACACAAAAGTGGCAGGTATTGTACTTAATTAGCATTCATTTCTAGCATCATTTCTCCTGAATTTTTTCCTTTTCTCCTGATTTTTAAATGACCTTAAATTCTCTTTTGTTTATTGCCTTTATTTAGATATTACTGGGAGTATTTAAAGTTATAACAAGGATTCCTGTATATTTACTAAAAGCAAAACAATGTGTCTTAAAAGGTTTTTATGGTAAAATATTTACTAGCACTAAGAAAGACCTTCAAGTAGGATTTTCTGATTGGCTCTTTCTTATTTGTGGAGTTATTATTAATTTCAGTTACTCCTATAGTCTTAAGCCACTTTAAAAAACAAGCAAAAATTTGAGGGGCATCTGGGTGGCTCAGTCAATTAAGGCTCTGACTCTTGATTTTGGCTTAGGTCATGATTTTGTGGTTTGTGGGTTTGAGACCAGCATCAGGCTCTGCACTGACCGAGCCTCTCTGCCACTTTCCTGTTTGTGTGTGTGCGCACTCTCTCTCTCAAAATAAATAAATAAACATTATTAAAAACAAGCTAATTTGATGCTAAGATTCTATACCTGATGCACAAGTTCATGGGCAACCACACTGGCTACCCTCTGCTGGTTTGATGAGGCTGATTCCTGAGGGTCATAAAGCAAGTTTGTTTCTCTGTAAGTGATGAGTCCCCAGTTCTCCATAGCCCCAGTGCCAAAGTCTGGAATAGCGATTTCATCTATGGAAAAAGAAACAGTCCCACGAGAAATACTTCTTTGCATTTGTTTATAACATTTCTTACCAAATTAAGTTCTTTGGATGAATGTTTTTTAAAAAGGCTAAAAATAATTTCTTAGAATAAAAAACAATAATCTATTTGTGTGAACTTTTCTGTCTTCAGGCACTCAAACTTTCCATGGAACATTTCCTGTTGACTCCAGATATCAATGTGTCTTCTATTTTTCAAGGAAGGATACTAATGGCAATGCTCTTTTCAGGGCTCTGTAATTTTACGTCTTTGTTTCTCTCTGTGCTTCATTTTTATTAGCTTTTTTTTCAAGATTTTTACTTAGGTAACAGAGACCATTTGCTTTGGGGATAAGCTATGAGGAATAAGAAAGTGAAGTTTTTAAAGGAAGATTTAGAAGTGTGGGGCTTCAAAATCCACAGAAATGTATTTCTATCCAAGGATGTAGAATATTAGGGAATATAAAATTCCACTTTTGTTCCTATTTCTGTACAATTTATCAACTCAAATCCCTACTAAATGAATAGGTTCCCATGTATTTGCATGCATTAAATAATTTGGATCAGCATGAAATAGACTGTATTCTTTCTAAATTCTCTTCCAGACCTACGATGCCAGGTTCTACCAGAACTGTCTATTCTTTATTTTTGTTTGGGCCTATAATCTTAGATATAATGACAGGAAGAGGCGGTGCTGATTAGTTCCATGTTAAATCCCAAAACAGAAAATGCTGAGCTTGGTTAGTGGACAGAATACAGCTTCATCAGTTAATGAAGTGTAATAAAAATGTAATTTTTCTCTTATCACAGAGAATTTCAATGAGGCACATAAATAAAAATAAATTTTTATCTAACATATAAGAAAAGGTCCTTTCTGGTTAAAATAAGGATTCTTAAAGCTTTTTATAAAGAATGAAAAATGGATATATCTTCAATAAAAATCAAGATTACAGCAGTAGATTTCTTTTCATGTCATCTTCATTCTTAGATTTAGCTATTTTATTGCAAGAACACCACTTAAAGGGTGGAGAAATATTCCCTCCAAGGACCAGTATTTCCTATAATATTATGGAGTACAATTTGTACCTAATATTTAAACAAAAGGACTTTTTTGTGACATAATTTCTCTAGTGAGTATTAGCATTATAATTAATTAACTCTAGTGTATTTAATAAATGACGAGTATGATAAGTGCAGAAGACCTCCGTAAAAAAGTCTAGGAAAGAGTTAATTCATGGGGCGCCTGGGTGGCTTAGTCGGTTGGGCATCCGACTTTTGCTTAGGTCATGATCTCGCAGTTCGTGGGTTCGAGCCCCGCATCCGGCTCTGTGCTGACTGCCAGCTCAGAGCCTGGAGCCTATTTCAGAGTCTGTGTCTCCCTCTCTCTCTTACCCTCCCCTGCTCATGCTGTCTCTCTCTCTCTCTCCTAGAAATAAGTAAAAATATTAAAAAAAAAAAAAGAGTTAATTCAGAAGGGGCTAAAAACGCGTTTTAAAGTATAAAGAAGGAATAAGGAAGAATGAGGAAGAGAAAACGAGAAGAGAGAATAAATTTCTAAGAGCTCCACTTTCCACTTTATCCTGGGTGTTACAGGTGACATAAAGAGAGGAGACTTTTAAATTGATGTGCTTAACATTTTATAAATATTATTCTGATTTTGATGAAAAGTTGTGTCTCTTCCTGTCTCTTTCTGTAATCGTAGGAAGCTGATGCCATTGAAGAGAAAACGGAGCATCTACAAAGTTGCTCAGAGCCACAGCTATTCCAACGCAGAGAACCTGGCTTCCCAGTCACTTTGCACTGATAATTTGTTAAAATAGAAGCATAAACCAAAATAGAGAAATCAATTTTGGGTTAGTTTTCTTGTTGCCTTCATTTTATTCCTACAGACATCTACATGGGTGTTTTATTTAAAGTCTTTGCTAAACCACTCAAGCTTTACTAATAAAGCATTTTTGCTGTTGGTCATATCCATACCATTTTGATTACAGCCCTATTTTTATTTTAAAAAGAAAACATGCCCGCCCCCCCAGTTAGAAAAAATATATACTGGGGTGCCTGGATGGCTCAGTTGGTTGGTTGTCCGACTTCAGCTCAGGTTATGATCTCGTAGTTCGTGGGTTCAAGCCCTACGTCGGACTCTGTGCTGACAGCTCAGAGCCTGGAGGCTGCTTCAGAATCTGTATCTCCCTCTCTCTGTGCCCCTCCCCTGCTCACACTCTGTCTCTCTATCAAAAATAAACATTAAAAATTTAAAATATATATATATATGTATGTATATTTATGAAAGGAGCACCAGTGTGTTGTTTCATTTTAACTGCTGGAGAATCCAGAATTAGTTTTGTACAATGGAAGGACTAGAAGCACATGGGACTCCGAAAGCATCATTTATCCCTTTTAGTTATCAGTTCATTGATGGGAGAGGCGCAGTGTAGGCTAGTGCAATGGTAATGATTTTGAAATCAACTAATTTAGGTTGCTATTTCTGGCTCCATTATTATCAACATGTGCAGTTCCACACAATACTTTAATCCTTATTTGGAAGTAAAAGTCTATGCATTTAACAGGGAAGAACAGAGTAAGTAAGGACGTTATTCTTGAAGTAATCCAAAATGCATATTTTAGGATCTAATAAATATTAGACACATATTTTAAGCATATAATAAAAAGACTAAGGGGTGACTCTGAACTAAAAATGCTAAAACTGGAGGAAATAACTTAGGTGAAAGCAAAGGCAATATTAAAAATTAGAAAATGAAAAACGAGTCTCACCTAATTTAGGAAGAGCATAATCCATTGCAAAGTATTCTTCAAAATAATCAAACACAATTTTAGTTATGTTTGCAGCATATTCGGCTGTGTGCTTTTGCTCTGGTTGGACATATATAGTGAGCTATTAAACAAAACACAAAAATTCAGTGAAAATTATTCTTTGTTTGACAAAACACACAAAAATTATGACATATAACACAGTGGAAGGAAGGTGAGCTTTGGAGCCAGATAGAGACTTATTTGAATCCCAGTTCTGAGTGGTTTTGAACAAATCACTTCTCATCTCCAAGACTGATGCATGAAGGAAATAATACTGCATAACACTCTGAGTAATTTCAATAACTAGAAATAATGTAAGTCACAATAATTGGCATAGGGTCCAATACATTTTAAAAATGTTATTACTTTTTTCCACTTAGAATATATATTCTTAATATCTATGCCTCTCCCTATTTTTCTATCAATTTCTTCCTCCCTTCCTTCCTTCCTCCCTCCCTTCCTTCCTTCCTTCCTTCCTTCCTTCCTTCCTCTCTCTCTCTCTCTCTCTTTGTATACCCTGCCTTTGAGGAAACGAGTCATGTGATTTTCTCATCTAAAGAAGCCCTTAGATACTTTATTTTTGCTTGTACTATTCTATCCATTACTGCCCAAATTATCCTTTTGATACTTTAACTATTTGACTCTCAGAGTCTAAAATATAGTGATTCAAAATTTTCTGAGAGGGAGGAATCTTAACAAACTACATCAATTCTCTATTTGTGTGCCTATGACATGGTTTATAAATCAAATCCAAGTGTAGACTTTTTACTCCCTAGTTTCAAGCATGTATGACCCAGAATAGCCAACACAATACTGAAGGAGAAAAACTAAGTTGGAGGATTGATACCACCTGACTTAAAGACTTACTATAAAGCTACATTAGTCAAGATGATGTGATATTAGCAAAATAATAGACAAATAGATCAGTACAACACAAAAGAGGGCCCAGAAATAGACCCAATAAAAATGTCAAATGATCTTTGACAAGGAAGCAAAGGCAATACAATGGAACAAAGATAGTGTTTTCAACCAATGGTGCTGGAACAACTGAACTTCAAGTGCAAAAAAATGAATTTAGATACTGACCTTACACCCTTCACAAAAATGACCTTAAGAGGGATTGCAGACCTAAATGTAAATTGCAAAACTGTAAAACTCCTACAAGATAACATAGGAGAAAACTTAGATGACCTTGGGTATGAAGATAACTTCTTGCAACACCAAAAGCCTGATCTATGAAAGATATAATTGATAATTTGGACTTCATTAAAAACTTCCACTCTGTGAAAGACAATGTCAAGAGAATAAGAAGACAAACCACAGACTGGGAGAAAATATTTGCAAGAGACACATCTGATAAAGGACTGTTACCCAACATATACAAAGAACTCTTAAAACTCAACAAGAAGAAAAGAAACAACCTGATTAAAACATGGGCCAAAGACCTTAATGAACACCTCATCAATGAAGAGACAAAGATGGCAAACGTGTACACGAAAAGATGCTCCCCATCATATGTCATCAAGGAGATGCAAAGATAAGGTACTACCACACACACCCACTAATGCCAAAATCTGGAACACTGACAACAATAAATGCTAGCAAGTATATGGAGCTCCCATACATCGCTGCTGGGGATGCAAAATGGTACAGCCACTTTGGAAGCCAATTTGGCAGTTTCTTAAAAAACGAAATATACCCTTACTATATGATCCAGCAATTGTGCTCCTTTATATTTACGTAAAGATTTTAAAACATGTCCAACAAATACCTGCACGTAAATGTTTATAGCAGCTTTGCTCATAATTCCCAACACTTGGAACCACCAAGATGTCATTCAGTAGATAAATAGCTAAGCTATGGTCCACCCAGACAATGGAATATTACTCTGTGCTAAAAAGAAATAAGCTCTCAAGCCATGAAAAGACAGGGAGAAATCTTAAATACATAATCCTAACTGAAAGAAGCCAGTCTGAAAAGGCCTCATACTGTATCACTCCAATGATATTAATTTTGGAAGAGTCAAAACTATGGAGACATTAAAGAGATCCGTAGTTGCTAGGGTTGGGAGGTGGAGGAAGAAGGAAATCTGAATGAGGGGACCACAGAGGATTTTTAGGGCAGTGAAAGTAATCTGTATGATATAATAACGATACAAAAATAACATTATACATTTGTCCAAATCCATAGAATGTACAATGCCAAGAATGAAACCTAAGGTAAACTATGGATTTTGGATATTATGATGTGTCAATGTAGGTTCATCTTTCATAAAAATAAAAAAAGAAAGAAATTACTATTTGGAGGAGCAATGGTTATAATGGGGGAGGCTACACATATGTGGGGACAGGATGTACATGTAAAATCTTCATAAGTGCCCTTCAATTTAATTGTAAACTTAAGACTGCTCTAAAGAAGTCTTTTAAAAATAACTGTGAGGAATTCAAGTGAAGTGTACTTGCTGGACTTACGACCTGATTCAAATCCCTCAAGTGAAGCAAAATATGCAGCCATTTGGTAAATCCAACCCCATCTACCTAACTGGAACAGGTGACTCATAATTTTAAAAAAGGAAAAGAGAGAAATTATGCCTACTTTCTTCCCTAATAAGGAATAATAAGTCCAAAAGCATTGCTGGTTTTGGTATTCTTTTAGGCACACATCTTGAGCCATTTTTCCTTAGATGTGAAAATCAGTGGGAAGATCCAATAATTTAATGGACAAGTACTGAAGTGCCTGGGTAGCTTGGTCAGTAAAGTATTCAACTCTTGATTTTGGCTTAGGTCATGACCATACGGTTAGTGGGATTGAGTCCAGCATCAAGCTCTGTGCTGATGACTCAGAGCCTGCTTGGGATTTTCTCTCCCCCCCCCTCTCCACCCCTCCCCTGCTCATGTGCATGCATGCTCTCTCAAAATAAATAAGCATTTTTTAAGAAGTAAATAAAGGACAAGTGCTAAAAGAGCATCCCTGAAATTACTAGTGCTGGCTCACTGTTCCCATATCCACTGGGTCATTGACATCCTTGCTTTATTTGCAAAAGTAAGGATGTGTTCATCTGCATCTCTAAAGGCAACACTAGTCATTCAACTATCATCCCAACATCCTTTGAGGTTTGTTTTTGTTGTTTCAGTTGCCAGGAGAGGTGATACATTTTCTCACTGTTCTCTTTTTCTACTTAAACAATGACATGCATTTTCCAAGAAGTTAAGTGAAACTAAGGATCCAGTTGGTGGCCACTATACAGAACAAAGGTAATTGCCCCCTATGAAATCAAAACCATCATGACTAGATAGGATAGCCGCATTGTACACAGAAATATTCACATCTATTCTCATTAAAAAACTTCAGGAAGGTAGTTCCATCCTGACTTCCTCCACTGTTATCTACACACTGCTTTTGTGGCATCCATAATGTTTGAACAATGAAAGAGGGTTGAGAAAGAGGGAGAAAAAGGAAGAAGTAATAACACTGAGTCCCTAGACTCAACGTTGTGAGTTAAGAGGAAGGAGAGATAATAGTGGGAATCCCAGGTGGAAAATGGGGGGGGGGGGAGAAAGACTCTGCTTTTTCTACCAGATCTTCTTTCCCATGCTAATTGATTGACTCCCTTTAAGCACAATGCTTGGAAGACAACATATTCTGGTTTTTCTCACTCTGTTGGCAGACTGATATTAATGTAAATTCAATCAAAATGAAAGCAGTCCTTTCCTTTTTTGTTTCTAAGAAACTCAAGCCCACAGAGGTGTGTTCTGTAGTTATAGTCTAACCAGTCTGAAGATCACATGGGATCCATGACTCTTATTTTGAAGAGTCATTGATCATATTTTAGGACCATTGCTCTGATCAACTGAGCTAAGCGATCACAGAATATATAGATTCAGACATTAATCTTGTGTAACATAACCAACCAAAGTTTATCTACAAGTGTGCCCTAACTGCTATATAGAATAAACATATTCTAGAAGACTCTACCAACTGCCAACATTGTGTGTTATTTGAAGCTTCAAAATCTTTCATGTGGCATCCATTTCATAGGAGGTCATCTGTTAAGTTCAGATTTGGTGATTTAAGCATTCTTCCCTCTGCTGCTGCCTTCACTTGTCCTCTGCTGAGTCTTTCCTGCTCTCTGACCTCTTCAGCTTATGGTCCATTTGATCTCCCACTCCTTTCTGTGGGCTTTAGTAAAGGTGGCTAGAATTCCTCCACCATCAGCTAAGCCTCAGTACTTCTGTTCATGACAAAGTTCAGGAAATTACCCCTGAATTGTCGTCACTTGTAATAATTGCCATCTTCCTACTTTATGTGTTTGCTTTACTGAGATAATTTGACTTTTTCAAGCACATAACTGGCAATATTGAAACAGTTTGGAATGAGGAAGAATTGATTCATGTATAGTCTTTCTTTTTGGCTTCTAAAAGAGTCATATATGTTTTATTAGTCAAGGACTCTATTAAAAGTCAAATATCAAGTTTATATACAAGCTTTATAATCTTATGTATAAACACAAAGTTTGTAAGGCTTTAAGAACCTAATTTGTATGCATGTATTTAGTTTTTAGAGGTAACAAGCTCCCTAGGTAAATTAAATGACTTGGATATACCACTGTTGGATACCATGAGTTGTATCTCAAAGCACTGAAGCTATGGAGCTGGTGTCAGATTTAAAGTCTGTGCTTTCCAATGCATATATTCAGCTGATTATTCTTTTGGAAGGGGTAACACACCTGCTTTATTGTTTTTGTTGTTACTTTTCTCTTATCATATGGGAACCACCTGTAAAGAAGGCTTTTGGAGTTCTTAATATTGTCCCTTTTATTCAAGTTCCTCCAGGAATTTGAGAGAAGGAATTTACATCCATGAGAATTAGGAACCTGATTGGTTGCTGTCATTTCCTTTATCTGTCATAATTATGATTAATCATTAGTCCCACAGAGTACTTTAAAATTTCTAAGTAATGTGAGAAGCACTTTCCATGCAGTGTATCCCTCTATGCATCAATTCTATAAAGCTGGCACTATGAGCAATAATAAAATATAACATTTTGGATCACTGACAAGTTTCACTTCTCCAGTTTTCACAATGACAAAATCCAAAGAGTTCCAAAAATATAAAGCTTTTTATGTGTTCAGAGCAAACTAATTTTGCAGATTCCTCTGACCTGAACAAATAGTTTTTTTTATAATCTTTATCTTTCTCACCACAAAAACACTGCTGCAGAAATATTATTCTTTAATTGTAAGGTTCTGCCCCCGATCCTGTTGTAGTTACTCAAATATGCAGTATTTGTAACATATAACCTTCACAAGTCAATGTTAATATACAACTAGCCACATGGTTTCAGAGAACTGTAGATCTCTACATCAGATTTTCCAGTTTGAAGGGTTTTAAAAAGAAACTTTCTCATTGTGTACATGAGACCAATAAAGATGAGGGTGAAACTGACACTAGGATTCAGCCCAGTTTGGTCTTTACTATATCATACTGCCTCTTTCTGTATCCTAAGAATGAAACCTGACTCTCCCTTGCTGCAAAATAGACATAAACAACAGCACTTAACTCATGTGATTGTGAGCATAAAATAAGCTAGTATGTAAAGCAGTACTTGACACGTAACAGTTTTATGCGTCCCATTGAGAATACTGGTATCATTGCAGATAATATATTGAATTATTAACCTCTGTGATTTTCTTTGTCCGTACTTCCTTATATATGAGCAATATCCACAATACCATTAGGAACATTAAGAGAATACAAGTGGGGGGAAAGTAAAGCATTTTTTACTCCCAAAATGGGCTTTTCATGCCCACAAGATAAATTTGAAAGCCAAAACCTTATGACTTGCAAAAGTTTGGTTAGAAAGGCTTTTAGGGACTGCTGGGTGGCTCAGGTGGCTAAGGTTAAGCATCTGACTCTTGATTTTAGCTCAGGTCACTATTTCACTGTTTGTGAGATCAAACCTGGCATCAGGCTCTGCGCTGACAGCACAGAGCCTGCTTGGGATTCTCTCTCTCTGCCCCTTGCCTGATCATGCTCTCTAAATAGAGAGAGATAGAGAGATAGATAATAGGAAGGAAGGAAGGAAGGAAGGAAGGAAGGAAGGAAGGAAGGAAGGAAGGAAGGAAGAAAGAAAGTAAGAAAGAAAGAAAGAAAGAAAGAAAGAAAGAAAGAAAGAAAGAAAGAAAGACAGACTTTTTAGAAAAAAAAGCAGAAGGCCAAGAAATAAAGCAAACCACAGAATTTATGCTGTGACAATAGACTGGAATGAGAACAGAGGAAGGTCCAAACAGCTTTCTCTCAAAAAACTACATGAGTTACTTGTGCCAGGAGAGGGATAGTGAGGTTGATGGGGCAAGACTCTGGAAGCACGCCTTAGGCTCTGAGATGGAGGCACTGAGCTTAGAAGAGCATGTGACCAGAGAGGCATCAGCTTGGATGAACTATGAGTCACCACTCTCACCACCACCCTGGTCAGAAGCAAAGCCAATGCCTGCAAGATCACCACCTGACAGCACTGCAGGTCAGCTGTGCCCTAGGGTCCAAGTCCTTATTGTCTTTGTTGAGTGTTTTCTATTGAAAAAGGTGACCATACATCCAGGTTTGCCCCAACATGTAAGTTTGCTTCTTATCTGTTTACATGTCTTGTCCCAGCATAATTAATAATGCCTTTTCTATTATTTATGTTGTATAAATTAAATGTACTTGAACTGTTAACAAGAGACTGCCTTTCTACTGTCCATCATCCAGCTAAATTAACACCTGTTCATCTCCAGAGGTTTCATAGAGTCTTATCTGAACTGTTCCATGTAGGTATATCCCTTTACAGAGCCCAGGACCCTTACAGGACACCTCACACAGAGGGTGAGATCTTTACCTGAAAACACACTTGGGTGACACTGGACAGTGGTGACCACTTATTTCATAATCTCAATTGAAGCATAGATATCTTAGCATATTTCATTCCCTTCAGGGCTTAGCAAACTCTTTGGGCATGTGGTAGGGGCTCAAAAAAGGCTAATAAAACACCCTGATTGAAGAAACCCTTTCTTTCATTATCATTGCAGAGGTAGCCAGAGTAAGAAAGGGTAAATAATTCTGTTTGTTTTTAATTCCATAAATGCCTACTGAAGGTACATAGTTGGTGCCACTCTATACGCCATCAATGAGTTTGTTTAGTTGCATAAGTCTCTGCTCTCCTAAATGTTCTTCCAGCAGTAGGCAGAGTTGTGGTAGAGGAATGCTTGGCAGAAGGGAATATGATACATCAGGGTGTTTTAAGTTTAGTTTGAGGCTGTCTGATCCCAGGAATGTGGGGCATTCTTCCTAAATTTTAGCTTGCCCCTTCCCCATGGATAAATTATTATAAATACACAAAACGTTGTCTCAATGTTTGGATGACTAAGAACTATTTTTCTGCTACGGCTTTGCAGGTTCAAATGTGTCCAGAATGTTGAGTTTAGAACTCAGCTGCTGTGAGGTGCTGTCTGAGAAGCAACCCAGCACTGTCTCTTAGGTTACATGAAGAATTTGTTGGCAGCTTGCTTTTCATTTGAGTCAAAATGTAAGTTGTTTGGTGCCTGATGGTTATTAGTGCAGAATTCTTTGAAAACAAAAACCCAAACATTAAAAAAGTCTAACTTACCTCATTCAATTTTGTATTTTTTAATTACCATTATGCTTAGCTTTTTGTAAATTTAAATAAAGAATGCGAATCATTAGCAATCTTCTATGGCTTCCTGGATTAAATACATTCTTTTGGGGGAAGATTAAGAGCCATTAATTTAGATTAGCCCTTCCAGTAAAGGAATGAATTCTTTTTAAAAAGCGCATAAAAATGTTGTTGAAATTAAACTCATTCTGAAAACTTTACAAAGCCACAGCAAAAAAAAAAAAAAAAAAGTCTTTTTAAAATAATAAAAATTTGTCAAAAATAGCTCTGAGGTAGAAAATTGTCATTAGAATGAGAATGGCTACAGGCAAGATCCACTGGTGAATATGACAATGAGTGGTCAAAGGTTTAAGGAGAAATAGGATATGTACATAACCTCTAATTATCTCCCCCTGTATTTACTTATTAATTGCTGAGGTGGCTATAACGTATGTCTATAAATTTTTTTGATAGTCCTCCCTCCAGGAAGTGAAGCTTAATCCCTTTCCTCTTGGGAATGGGCCCTACTTAGTGATCACTTATAACAGATAGAATTTGTAAAAGAAAAATAGTAATTTATACTAGAGAAACCTAGCAGATATCACCTGAACTAAATGATCAAAGTTCGCATCACCAGCAGTAAGTTGTGTTGATAGCATGTGCCCCCTGATATGATCTAATGAGAAAGGTACCTTCTCTCTGAGGTGTTTCCCCTCCAAATCCAAAACCCCTCTCTAATAATGAGAAAACCTCAGATAAATTCAAATTGAGGGATGTTGTACAAAATATCTGACCAATACTCTTCGAAAGTACCCAGATCATTAAAAACAAGGAAAGACTGAGAAAATGTCACAGATTAGACAAAATGAAGGAGACATCATGACTAAATACACTGTGGTATCATATATTGGATCTGGAACAGAAAAAAACACATTAGTGGAAAAACTGACAAAACTGAAATAAAGTCTGTAGCCGAATTAATAGTTTTACACAAATACTAATATCTTAGTTTTGATGAATGTATGATAAATGGTTTTGTCAGACGTTAACTTTGGAGGAAGCTGGGTGAACATTATATGAGAACTCTATTGTGTCATTGCAATACCTGTAAATCAAAATTATTTCAAAATAAGAAGTTTAAAAATATATGAGTGTTAAACCAATGCAACTTCTTTCTAAGAAGACTATTTCCATGTAGGAAAATGCATAAATTAAAATCCATGGCATAAAACCAAACTGCTCTAAAAAATAAAGTTTATTTTTTTAAAAATCCATCTTACACGTATTTTTCTGCCTTCAGTCTTTCTAATCCAGACAAACAATGGACCAAGTCACAAGCAAGAAGACATAGGCAATAGGAAGGATTCATTCAAAGGTATAATTCTATTCAGGAATCATCCTGTAACATTTTGGAAGCAGGCACAATACAATCTCTTTTACTGAGTTAATCAAACTAATATAGTTATAGTATAAATCTAATTAAATGGGTTTTACCAGCCTCTCTTAGTGAGTAGGCCCCCTCAACTTTTTCCCTCTGATCATGAAAGCCAAGAAGAATTTGACTAGAGTTGAAATAATATCCAGCAAAGTAACTGCTCCTTTTTGCACATCCCTCTATACAAAAGACAGAGGTCCAAACCCCAAAGAAATCCAAGTCCTAATTAGAACTTACTGTTTCTCAGGAACAGGATCACTCTTACCATTTAATTTGTCCTGAATTTGGTTCCTGAAAGGCTAGTACAAAGCTAAAAATTCTGGCAAAGTTACTGAGGTCATAGGTCAAATGTACTTCAAATGCCATCACAAAACTAATAACTTAGAATGATTTTATATATGGTAATATAGGTAATTTTCCTTTTTCCTTTTTTTAATGTTTACTTATTTTTGAGAGACAGAGAGAAACAGAGTGCGAGCAGGGAGGGGTAGAGAGAGAGGGAGACAGAATCTGAAGCAGGCTCCAAGCTCTGAGCTGTCAGCACAGAGCCAGACACAGGATTCCAACTCACAAGCCATGAGATCATGACTTGAGCTGAAGTCAGACACTCAAGAATATTTCTGTGTGTGTGTGTGTGTGTGTGTGTGTGTGTGTGTATTTATACAATCATCCATCAATGGACACTTAAGTTGTTCACATATCTTGGCTATTGTAAAATAATGCTGCAATGCAATGGAAAAAGACAGTCTCTTCAGCAAATGGTGCTGGGAAAACTGGACAGTGACATGCAGAAGACTAAAACTGGACCACTATCTTATACCATACACAAAAATAAACTCAAAATGGATGAAAGGCCTAAATATAATACAGGAAACCATCAAAATCCTGGAGGAGAAAACAGGTAACAACTTCTTTGACCTTGGCCACAGCAACTTATTACTAGACATGTCTTTGGAGGCAAGGGAAACAAAAGCAAAAATGAACTGTTGGAACTTCATCAAGATAAAAAGCTTCTGCACAGCAAAGAAAACAACAAAACTAAAAGGCAGCCTACAAAATGGGAGAAGATATTTGCAAATGACCTATCAGATAAAGGGTTAGGACCCAAAATCTATAAAGAACTCATCAAACTTTATACCCCCAAAAAATAATCCAGTGAAGAAATGGGCAGAAGACATGAATAGACACTTTTCCAAAGAAGACATCCACATGGCCAACAGACACATGAAAAAATGCTCAACATCCCTCATCATTAGGGAAATACAAATCAAAACAATGAGATACCACCTCACAACTGTCAGAATAGCTAAAGTCAACTACTTAGGAAACAGTAGATGTTGGCAAGGATGCAGAGAAAGGATAACACTTTTACACTGCTGGTGAGAATGCAAACTGGTACAGCCACTCTGGAGAAGGATGGAGGTTCCTCAAAAAATTCAGAATAGAGCTACCCCATAACCCAGCAATTGTACTACGAGGTATTTATCCAAAAGATACAGATGGGCTGATTTGAAGGGTTACATGCACCCCAATGCTTATAGAAGCCCTATCAATAATAGCCAAATTATGGAAAAAGCCCAAAGGTCCATCAACTGAAATGGATAAAGATGTGTAATATTACTCAGCCATCAAGAAGAATGATATCTTGCCATTTGCAGATGGAACTAGAATGTATTATGTTAAGCAAAACAAGTCAGAGAAAGACAAATACTATTTGATTTCACTCAAATGTGGAATTTAAGAAATAAAATAGATGAGGGGCACCTGGGTGGCTCAATTGGTTGGGCGGCCGACTTCGGCTCAGGTCATGATCTCATGGTTCATAGGTCCGCGTCCCATCATCAGACTCTGTGCCGACAGCTAGCTCAGAGCCTGGAGCCTGTTTCAGATTCTGTGTCTCCCTCTCTCTCTGACCCTCCCCTTCTCACGCTATCTCCCTCTCTCAGAAATAAAGAAAACGTTAAAAAAAAAAGAAAAGGAAGAAAACAGATAAACATAGAGAAAGGGAAGGAAAAATAAGATACAAACAGAGAAGGAGGTAAACCATAAGAGACCCTTAAATACAGAGAACAACCTGAGGGTTGCTGAAGGGGAGGTGGCTAGGGGTGGGTGGGCTAAACTGGTGATGGGCATTAAGGACATTTGTTGGGATGAGCAAGGGGTGTTATATGTAAGTGATGAATCACTAAATTCTGCTCCTGAAACCATTATTACACTATATCTTAATTAACTTGGATTTAAATAAAATTTAAAATAAATAAATAATAATAAAATAAAATATAATATAAAATAATAATTTAATTTAATTAAAATTTTAAAATAATGTAGCAATGAACATAGGGGGTGCATCTGTCTTTTCAAGTTAGTATTTTCATTTTCTTTGGATAAATACCTGAAGATTTTATTGACTTTAAAACCCTGAGACAAACAATCAACTAAAAGTGAAAAAGGCCTCAGGAGAGTTGTAAAAAGTCTTTCCATCAGTGGCTAGCCTCAATTATTGCTAAATTTTATTTTTTCAGGGCTGAATCAAAATGTAATGTAAATAATATTCAATAAAGGAAATCTACAAAGTTAAAAGTCTTTTGAGCTACCTTCCAAACTCAGCTTTCTTCTTAACAAATTTTTTGGGGGATGAATCCTCTATTTCAATTTTTTCTCACGATAGACAAGGACATTTTAAGCATAATGTCTGGATTCTATGTTTACTGATATAAAGGAATTATTGCCAGAATGGTGAATGTACCCAAGAGAGTTTAATCAGGGTACAACTGATTCTTGATTGCACAATAGAATCTGACTACGAATAGCAAGTGATTAATGTACCAGAATAATACTGTCAGAAGCAAAGTATCTTTGGATTCACGAACTTTCTACTGAAAGTGTTGTATTACACAAAAGCTACCTAGTTTCATTTTTTAAAAAACTGAAATAGAAATATAGGGACTTTGGGTGAAGATGGTACAGTAAATTAAAAACTTGATGTACCCTCACATACTGAAAAGATAGATGCAATGTAAAAATGGAAAACCCACAAGACATACTAGAACTTTAAACAATATAAATATTGTTTATAAATGAACTTGATAAAAATATAAAGCAGTTGGTGGGAACTGAAGCCAGAAGCTTATTGGTAATTAGTAATGGGTTCCTGGGGGGTCAGAACCAGATTATGCTTTGGAAATCATGTTTTATTTTAAAATTGGACTACTGATTTCTGATTGTTTTCTCATAGCTTTCTGTTTCTATTTTATGGTGATCACATCTTCTTGAATCTGAAAGTAGTAATTAAAGATTGTATAGATCTGAAAGTTTAATTTTTTATGGCTATTTTTGGAATTCTCTGTAGCTTCCCCAATTATTACTATTGGTCCAACTGTGTTTTTCTGTTTATTTGCCTTGGATTTTCTCTTTTTTCTTGTTTGTTTCCCTCAGATGCCTGTTTATCGTAAGTTGTCTGTTCAGCTCTAAGAATATAGTACTGAGGCCGGTTTGCATTTCCATTTAAGTATATTTAAGTAGGTCAGTTTCCCTTTAATTCTTTCTAGAATGGGAGATTACATTGGGGCATTTGTGCTTGAGTGTTAACTGTTAGATTTCAATTTAGAGTGAGTGGGTAGGAAAAGCCAGGCAGGGAACCTCTCAAATGCCAATGAGGCAGAATTTACCATAAACTGACATTCACACTGGATGTCTTGCCAAGTTCTCTAGTAAGGGTTCTGTTTACCTTTTGTAGAAAACAGCATTACCAGGTTTTTCAGGAGGGAAAAATCTGATGGCATGCCTTCTCTGTAGACAGGGTAGAGGGAAGGGCCCCTGCTTTGTTTAGCTCCACATTGCACTTTCACTGAATTCTCCTGACCCAGAGTCTCTAGGAAGTGTCCAAAGAGATTATAGCTTTCTGTTTATCTTTTACCAAATAGATGATCAGAAAGGAATATATTATGACAATATTCATTTCCCACCCAAATGGTGAAAACTCTACCAAATTTACAAAAGAACATTATGCAATCAGCTCTGATATTGAAGAAATATTTACCACTCAAAGGACATTGGGATCTTATGCCAAATTATATTTTCCATTATGTCATCTAAAACATTTATACAAAATGCATCATTAGAGCTCTGCTAACTAACTGGTATAAGCTCTGATGACTCATCACCCACTAGCAGCACCTTAAAAATAAATATCGTTGGTCAGAGGACCAGGTGCACTGGAAACGGAAACTCACTGCCACTATAGGAAATAACTCCAAGTACATGGTCAGTTGCTAATGAGTTGGCTGCATTTTCTTTTTCTTTTTTTAAGTTATTTTTAAAACACTTATTTATTTTTGAGGGAGGGAGAGAGAGAGAGAGAGAGAAAGAGAGAGAAAGAGAGAGAGAGTGTGTGTGTGTGTGTGTGTGTGTGTGTGAGTGGAGGAGGGGCAGAGAGAGAGGGATAGAGGATCCGAAGCAGGCTCTGTGCTGACAGTAGAAAGCCTGATGTGGAGCTTGAACCCACAAACCATGAGATCACAACATGAGCCAAAGTCGGACACTTAACTAACTGAGCCATCCCAGTGCCCCCTACATTTTCTTTCTATAAAATTTCATCAGCACTAGTGAATTGTTTAAGCTTTCTGCTTTGCCTTGGCATTTTCACCCAAAATAAAAACCTTGCCCCAAACGCAATCATTACGTTAAAAAAAAATGGTGTAGAAAACATCTGCACATGATGAAAAACATTCATGCAACTGAATTGCAGGTGATGAAGAAAGCACCTGCAGATGCAAATTCTTTGACTGCGAGGAGTCTATAAGAAAAAGCAAAAGCTGGACTAATGCTTTCACCTCTATATTAAGCAGGAAGGAGTGACAGCAAGGACATTCAGCACAATATAGAAAAGGCAATTTCAGGGGCGCCTGGGTGGCTCTGTTGGTTAAGCACCTGATTTAGGCTCAAGTCATGATCTCACGGCTTGTGGGCTCAAGCCCTGCATCAGGCTCTGTGCTGAGAGCTCAGAGCCTGGAGCCTGCTTCGGATCCTATGTCTCCCTCTCTCTCTGCCCCTTCTCCATTTGTGCTCTGTCTCTCTCTGTCTCAGAGATAAATAAACATTAAAAAAATAATGAAAAAAAAAGAAAAAACAATTTCCTCTTTCCAGCAGCATTTCCTTTTTTTACACCCAATATTATCTATTAGCCCCCCGCAGTGCTCTCTACCATGACTGAAGGTCACATCAAAGCAACACATGTGGTAAGGGATGACAAAAGTCATCATAATATACAGCCCCTTTGAAAAGGTGTTACGATATTCCCTCATTTGCTACAATTTGGTTACAGTAAAGGCAACGTGCTAGAAACCATGCTCAACTCCTACTATACGAACATTAAGGTAAATTTCCTTAGGAGATAGTTTCACAGGAAATAAAGGAATTCATCCTTTCTCTCTAGTGATTGGTGAAGAGGTAAAGATATTTTCAGAATATCATATTTCAGAAGGTTTAGCAGTGTACAGTATCCACCACTTGCTAGTCGAGTGATCTTGAGCAAATTACTTAAACATACTAAGTTTCAATTCTCTCATCTGTAAAATAGGAGTGATGATTTTTTCCTTATAAAGTTATATTGCAAAGATTATAATATATCACACAGAGGTGGATTAACCGAAAGATGGATTTAGCAAGTGTTTAGGGCATGAGCAAAATGGAAGCCTCTAGAATGAGAAGAATAATTAGGTAGAAGTATTTGTGTTTTCAAAAGAAAATTATTGAATTACTCATCTTAACTTTTAAAAGCTTACTTATCTCTTACACTTTAAAAATATGCTTTTTGGCACTTTGTTGTTGTCTCATTTTGAATTACATATAGGAATGGCATCGCAAGCTTTGAAGAATATTCCTCTTCCTGTGGTTTCTTCCTCCCTCTCTGATCTCCATTCAGGTCCCCACCTAAACACATATACTCAACCGCCTCACTAAATTGGGCATGCTCAAATATTTTAATATACGTGTGCTGATATACTTGGGAGCTATTTTAGATTTGTAGTGAATTTTCCCTTTAAAAGAATTCGAAACTATTTATTCCTATGTCTGTTGTGTTTATTTTTCACATGTGTCCTTTCAGCTTATGATTTTCTACTTTTTCAGTGCATCTATCAGCAAGCTCACAGACTCTGATGACTAATGAGCTTCCCTAGTGTGTTATGTGGGGAAAAAGCAAACAAACATTTAAAAAATAGAAAATTAGTCACAAATGCCCAGGTAGGAAATTTTAAAAAATATAATGGGACTCACAGGTACTCCCTTTTTTGATATTCTGTCAACATGGTCAAATTGATGTATAGCAAAGCACACCAGGTAGGTGCTCATAGGGACAGACTTCTTGAAAGTTGTTTTATTCCATTTATTGTCCACCGACTCTTCTTTCTATTGAAAACAAAAGATAATCTTTTATTTATCAAAAGATCAGTCATAGACAAGACAAACAAATGATTCCTCCAAACCTGGATTTTTAGTCAGGAGTCCTTTGTCAAAGCTTAGGGGTAAAACTTCTTTTTACCCCTGAATGGTGATACTGAAAAAGCCTGATGGAAATAGCATTCATTTTTAGTCCTGTGAAAGAGTGATTGAACTATACACTGTATGAGGTTTCTCAGGGAAAGTACAAGTTTGACTAGGATGCAAGAATTCATTTGTCTTTCTCCATTAAATATACAATCCCAATAATAATATTTGAGGGGATAGCAGATCCATCAGGGAAGAATAGGCTAGTGCCCAATGCCTCCCACACAGGAAGCAAATGTTTGTTCGGGGGGGGCAATAGCAGGATGCTGGGTTCTCATTTCCATCTCTGGTGTCTACATCAAAGACCCAAGGTATTGTCACTAAAGTCACTGCCTTGATTATCATGGACAGAGAGAAGGATTTCATTACTGATGTCACTACTAACTCCATCTGTCTGGTTTTCTGCCCATGCCAGCTTTACCTTCCTCTTCACCAGTCACCAGGCCCAATACTTCATCCACGTATCCTTGCCCTCCTCATGCTACCCACTGTTTAAATATTTCCATGTGCTTTGTAGACACACAATAATTCACTGCAGTGGGAAGCTTTCAAAGGGGACAAAGTGAGGAAGGTTGGGCTAGAATCGATGCCTCACTGACAAGCAAGCATGTGAGTGCAAGTGCTCGTAGAGAAGTATCTGAAAGCTGGCAAAGTTACGCTAGTAACTATTACCAGTAAGAACTAGTGGTATTAGTTTTGATCTCCTAATCACCTAGAATGTCCTCCTTTCAGTATGATTGTCTGGAAGTAGTAAGCGGTGAGGAATATACTCTGCAAAATAAAGAGGCCCTCTGAGAGGTCTGAAGCAGAAGTAGGTAAGGTTTGCATCCTTTCTCCTCCCACCTGCCTTCCCCCATCTAGACTGAACATTCAAAGGGTCTTTTACCCTGCCCCAGCCTTCTGGACCCGTGTGCCAGACTTTAAGTTGGTTGTTTCCTCTTTCTTCTCCTGTCAAAACTCAACTGCTCAGCTGCCTGACACCAGGAGAAAACAAATTGATCAACTGATTCACACTGTGAGGCATGGATAGCTGACAACAATGTACTTTTGAACCCTCATAAAGCTTTTGTTGGTTTTACCTTGTTCTTGCTTTTCTGAGGAATATTTCATTAAGGGGGAGGAATTTCAATGATGACATTTCAGATAGTGGATCAGAAAGATGGGAGGTATAATTCAAGCAGGGTTTTTTCTGGTATTAGTTAGAGGACAATTATATCTAAGGATGAGCCTGACCCTTTGACGTGTCAATATATGTGCATTTATTCTATGTGTAAGGTACAATAATCCCCAGCCTTAGTTAGCTGTGTTACCCTATTCTGTGGTTGAGGAGCAGTAATGGAGGAAAAAGTCTCATGCCAGTTATTACACAGACAGAACTTACTAGAGCCTGTTTTCTTTTTTTAACATTTCATGAGCACTGCTTGTTCACTAGAAAATCTATGGGCATGGGGTTCTCTGGAAGCGGCTTCTATACTCCAGTATTTAAGTGATGGTATTTTGCAGCAGCTCGATCTTAAACACTAAACTTCTATTCAACTGAAAACCAAGAACAGTGGCCAGGCCCAGGAGTATTTTTTAGTCTCTAATTCCATAAATTTACTGTTAGTCTTTCATGACTAGGGGGTTCATTCAGTTAAGCAGAGCCCAGCTGCTGAGGCTCAACTGTATTCACTCTTGCTTGGAACCCAACCATGGCTTTTTGACTAGAGCGGGATATGTCAGGTTAAAGACTTCTAGAACTCAAAGAAAGGAGGATGCCAGATGCATTCCCAAGCCTCTAAGTGAACTATGCAGACACATTTAATTTTAGAATGCATTGGGTTCTCTCATAGCAAATAAAATTATTTACCTGCTATTGTAAACAGATGACCTGCAGAAACAAACAAAAAATTTGGAAGTACTTACCTCCACTGGCATATTTGAAAGTGCCTTATATTCTTTGGGGTGGGTGATGGATATCGTATAGGTTGCCTTTTTGTTGGGCTCATCAAAACAAGGGAAGGATTTCCTGGCATCTGTTGGTTCATGATCAGTGGCTGCTATGCTCCTGAGACACAAGCACACAAACAAAATACATGTCACCTCTTCTGACAGCCCCTGTGTTTCTATTCCTATAGAAAAAGTCAACTATGTAATTACAACCGCATGTATTTATAACTACTATATAATTATATTGCAGGTCTTAAACTGACCTTCCATCCAGAAAACTATCAAATAGTTGTCAGAGTCTTTCTCGGAATTTTTAGGTTAATAACTAAATGATAATCTGGACACAGCTTCAGATATTTTATATGAATCGTTTGGTATTTTGGTGCCATAACTAAAAATCTGTGAACTATAGATAAGCAAAAATAAATCCAATTATGAGTTATCACTTTTTCCACCCGAAAACCGTCAAGCAGCAAATAGATAAACACAAAGCCAAACTCAAGGACTTGTTTCTAACTGTCCTTCTGAGAGTGAACAGCTGTGTCCTGTCACAGAGCAGAGGAGTATCTTCCAGAGTCCCCAGCTCCTGTCCCTCATGGCACATTCTTTCTTATTTATGTTGCACCAGGGACAGACTCCAGTTTCATTTCCATGCAAAGGCAGTGCTCTGAGTAACCTCCCAGGTGAAATAAACTGACCAGGTTGAAAGCCCGCTTTTGAAAAGAGACAGCATTTTTTTTTATGGCTCTAACTAGGCAAATGCTTGTGTAAATTAAAATGCTAATGTTTAATATTTCCATCATTTCAATTTTTTTTAATGTTTTATTTATTTCTGAGAGAGAGAGTGAGAGAGAGAGACAGCATGAGCAGGGGAGGGGCAGAGAGAGAGGGAGACAGAATCTGAAGCAGGCTTCAGGCTCTGAGCTGTCAGCACAGAGCCCAATGTGGGGCTCAAACCCACAAACTATGAGATCATGACCTGAGCCAAAGTTGGATGCCTAACTGACTGAGCCACCCAGGTGCCCCTCCATCATTTCAAAGTGGAAATAATATTTTTTCTCAGTAACTGCTCAAAAAAATCAATGAATATATACTTTCTACAGGTAGTTATATCACAGTAAAATATACATTTGCTCATTAGAAGAGTAAGCAAAGTAAAAAGTATAAAAGGGGAGTGCAGAAATATTGACATAATCTGGGTAAGGAAATTATTTTGTCCTTCAGGTATATCATAAAGAATACCAAGATAAGTATTAGATCATTCATTCATCCAATATTCATCAAACCCTTTCCCTCTACACTCCTTAACCCAACGCACCCTTGCCCTCTCCCCCCACCCCCTTACTCACACAAACACATTTGCCAGGCATTATTATTATTCTAGGTGCTGAGGGAATAACAAAGACTAAATAAGCACATAAGGAGAGTGATAAGAGGTATATGGAAAATAAAACAGGGGAAGTGACAGAGAATAACCTAGGAAAATTGTGAGCGCTGTTATGTAAAATAGTCAGAGACAATCTCTTGAAGTAGATAATGGTTTGCAGAGATCTGAATGATGAGAAAAAGCCAGGCAGGGGAAGCATAAGAAAAGTGTATCCTAGCAGAGGAAACAGCAAGTGCACAGTCTCTAGAGTGGAAAAGCACTTGACATGGTTGAGGACCTGAAAGGTGTCCTATGTGGCTGAAACGTGTCCACCAAACCAGAGGGATGGGGCCAAAGAAGTTTGGCTGGTCAGCAGAGGCTGTAGTAAGAGTCTGCATTTCATTTTGGTTCAAGGATGTAATATATACATAAATCATACATAATGTATACATAAGTACATTTATCCAAAAGATAATATGCATAGGTCCACGTCCATATGTAAGAAATGAATATACTTAATTTCTTTTAAAAAAGACCCCCTCTAGATATAATAATTACTTGTTAAAAACTCAGCCAAGAAAACTAATCTGTAAAAAATAAAACCAGAAAAGTGGCTGTCTTTTGGGAGACTGTTGACTGAGGGAGGACACTTTCTGGGATGATTGAAAAAAAAAATCTCTATCTTATTAGGAATATGGGTAAGTAAGTTGTATGCATTTGTGAAAAATGTATTGAATTGTGTCCATTAGATTTGTGTGTTTAACATATGAACATTTTCCCTAACAATAATTTTAAATGAATACTAAGTTCTAGTAAGTAAGTTTGTATTTTCTAGTAGTACGGGTTAGCAATTCAGAAACAACCTTCTCTATTCTAATGGCTTGAGCAAATGAAAAAAATGAAGATAATGGAAAGCAGGTTTCTCACTGTTGGGGAAGAGAGTTATAGTTTGGAAAGGGGAAAGACTAGAATGTGCCCTCTATATTACATTATAATTGCTGGTTTGGTATAAATTCAGTGATATTTTTGGTGAAGATATAGGTAGATGGATATAAAATTACAAACTGAGACATATATTTCCTAGTTCTGTCTGCTGAGCTGAAGTAGAAGCCCTGACAAGCTTGTAGCCAATAAGCACAACCAGTGCCCACATGATGGGTTCTAAGTACCACTCTCCCCTAAAAGGAACTAAGACTCCTTAGAGAAATGGCCGATTCCAGTGATGAGTCAGGAAAAGTCCAAGATGATCCTGGAACATCTTCGCTTTGCCCAAAAGTGAGGAAGGTCTCAAAAAATCATGGGAGCAAGTCAAAAGGACATAGAGGCTCACTTGAGTGGACTCAATTTGACCATGGTCAAATCTAGGGGAATTAGAATGTCAAAATAAATAATCAAATTATAACCCATTGACTGAAATAAGAATCCATGACGCCTCACACTGTATCTATCAATATAGATATAGATTTTTTTTTTCACAGTAGATTGCCTATTCGTGGTTTTAGGAGGCATGATGGCTTTAGAAAATCGTCAGTGAATGCCAAAACATATGGGTGATAGTTTGATGAGGAAAGGAGTATCTGAATGCTTTCAAAGAATCTCTCTCAAAATTACTTACAAACATAAATTGTAACTTTATAGTGGAGAAACTATTGAGTACCACCTTAAGCAAGTGATCAATGACAGTGACATTAATAATAGTACAAACCAACGTAATCTGTCTCCTGATAGGGTTTCCTGAGAGGGACACAGCACCACTTTTGTGAAATTCCTGACAAAAAAAATGCTTTACTTGCATTTTTAAATCATGAGGAAAGTCAGATAAGCTAACATTGAGGGACATTCTCAAAATAACTGTCCTGTACTCTCCAAAAATATCAAGGTTATGAAAGGCAAAGAAAGGCTAAGGGACTGTTCCAGTTTGAAGGAATCTAAAAAGGCATAACATTAAATGAATCCAGACTGGATATTGGACTGAGAAAAAATAGCTCAGAAGGACATTTTGGGTTAATTGATGAACTTTGATTATGACTGTGGATTGGCTCATATTATATCAGTGTTAAATTTTCTGATATTGATAACTGCACTGTGGTTATGTTAGAGAATGTCCCCGTACTTAAGAAATATATACTGAATGTTAAGATGTAAAGGGAAATAATGTGTCAAAATATTCAGGGGGGGGGGCGCATGGGTGAGAGGAGGGATAAGACGAAATGTTAACATTGGTGAGTCTGAGTAAAATGTTTCTAGGAGTTCTCTGTACTATTGTAATTTTTATGTAAGTTTGAACTTCTTTCGAAATAATAGTTATCCAAAAAACCCTCAAGAATTTATTCTTCAACAGAGCAATTCCTGATTAGTTTTGTGATGATAATAGCTTAGTCAATTGAAGTTTCTAATACTGTTCAGACTGTAGAGAATTGCAAACACATCAGGATAAAGAAACCTGCACACTTTCCCAGGGTACTAAGGTTTTACAATAAGCTCCACCAAGGTCCAACTCCATGTTTAGTCAGCTGCCTTTTCTTCTGAATTCTTCTGGCTTCCAATTTCTTCCAGAGGCAGAAGAAAAGGAAAAAATCACTCTCTGCAAGAATGTTTCAGTTTAGTCACACCTCAGAAATAAACCAATTAACTAATTTGGGAATAAGAGTGGATAGGGGGAGAGAGTGAGAGCGAGTGAGTGAGAGTGAGAGAGAGAGAGAGAAGGAAAGAGGGTACAGGGGTGAGGAGGGAGGAAGGAGCAGGATTCCACTGTCCTAAGCAATAGCCATTGGTAGATTTTCAAATGCTGTTTCAGTTTCTGCTCTGGGTGAGAGTACATACCTACCCCTCCCTCCAAACCCCCAGCACCACAGAGACAACTTTTAGTTGTTCCTCACCTTCTCTCTTTAAAAGAGGTTGTGCTTGATTGTATGCAAAAAATCCTTCCCTAAATTAGGGTACCTCAGAACTTGCCTTTGGAAACAGAACAGAATGGTGTTGACGGTGTCACTGTGCAGTGTGTTTGGTCCATTTTGGTGGTGCTGTTAGTGAACGTTAATCACACCAAGTCTAGCTCGACTATAGTGACCTGCACTTACTAATGTAAGGTAAAGTGACACTTAACCAGAAGGGCTACAAAATGTGTACTGTTTTGTTTCAAAGTACAGAGCCAGTTATGATTTCATGAGGAAAATCCTCTTCTAAGGGTAAAAATTCTTAGATTCCAATCCTACCAAAGCCCCTTAATCTGTGATCTTGTGCCAGTCACAAAATACACTGATTCTTAGTGTCCTGATCTATTAAATCTGGTTACCAAAGCACATCTGTCCCTATCACAGGGTTATGTGGGGGTAATAAGGGATAGATTACATGTAGTAATATATTTGAAATTCCCTTCATACTTACATAATGGGATTAGGATACACCTCACTCTATTTTCTTTACCTCTAGAAAAAAGGCTAGCTATACTTTATGTTAATGCACTTTCCACAATGAACAGACTTCAAAATTCATTCATTAAACAAGAGTATCTTGGGGCGCCTGGGTGGCTCAGTCAGTTAAGCGTCCGACTTCAGCTCAGGTCATGATCTCGCGGTTCATAGGTTCGAGCCCTGCAACAGGTTCTATGCTGGCATCTCAGAGCCTGGAGCCTGTTTCAGATTCTGGGTCTCACTCTCTCTATGCCCCTCCCCTGCTCATGCTCTCTCTCTGTCTCAAAAATAAAAATAAACTATATATAAAAAAAAAAAAGAGTATCTGTCTTGAACAAA